ATGCTTTCTCTCTTCATGCACATGCACCAAGGAAAAGTCATGTGAGGGAAGATGCAGTGAGAATGAGGCTATCTGAAAGCCAGGTAGATAGCCCTTAATAAAAACCAACCACGATGGCACCCTGATCTTGGACCTCTACAACTGTGATTAAAATGAGTTTCAATTGGTCAAGCCATCTGGTCCATAGTATTTTGTTATAGCACCCCAAGCAGAATAGCATATCTACAAAACAACAAAGATTAAGAATTATAGCAGACTTCTTGTAAGAAATTAGGCAAACAAGAAGAGTATAGGATAACATCTTTGAAGTTTTAAAATAAAAAATTGTCAACATAAAATTCTGTATCCAGAAAAAGTAACTTTCAAAAGTGAAGGAAATTCCAATGTGTTGGAACCAGAGACAGTCATGCTAAGTGAAATAAGCCAGTCCCAAAAAACCAAAGCCAAATGTTCTCTCTGATATGTGAATGCTAACTAACAATGGGGATTGGGGTAGGGAAAAATAGAAGTATTTTGGATTAGATAAAGGGGAATGAAGACAAGGGAAGAGGGATGGGAATAKGAAAGATAGTAGAATGAATTAGACATTATTTTCCTATGTTCATATATGAATACATGACCAATGTAATTCCACTTCATTACAACCATAACAATAAGAAGTTGTACTCCATGTATGTATAATATGTCAAAATACATTCATGTATAACTAGTAAGAATTTTAAAAAGAGAGTTAAAAAAAAAAGTAAAGGAAAAAGATAAGACTTTCTCAGTATTTATTTCAATGTAAATTCCCTCAGTTTTTATTTAACTGACAGAAGAGCTATCCTACAAGACATATTAAAGAAAGTTCTACCCACAGAAAGAATATTATATATTAACATGATATTTTAATTATTATTAAGTGAAATAATTTATATCTATACAAAGAAAGAACATCAGAAATGGAAGAAATGGAGGCAAGGTAAAAGACAACTGTTTAAAGCAATATCTTTAACAAGGAATTGGGTATTTATAGCATAAATAAAAGCAAAATTTGACATATGACAAGAATAGCACAAGGAATATGAGGGAGTAAATGGAAATATACGTATGTAAGGATCTTTCACTACATGTAAAGTTTGAAGGTAGAAAGGGATCATTTACAAATATATTGTAAACACTAGGCAACCACTAAAAATGTTTTTAAAAGAAATGTAAATAATAACTCCATAGAGGAGGTAAAATGGAAGTATAGAGATGCTCAAATAAAACCAGAGAAGGTGGGAGATGGAAAGAAGGAAATTTACAATGAGCAAGTTCGTAGATTTTCACCAAATTATATCAATATCACTTTATGTTAATGGCATAAAAATAATGTCTGTTAAAGGACAGATTATCATAATGGATACTAAATCAACACAGGTACATAATGTCTGAAAGAAGCTCAATTTATAACACTTAGATACAAGTTTTTTCCAAAATGTATGTATGTACCTAATAACAGATTTTCAACATACATTAAAAGGTCTTCACAGAATTTAAAAGTGTCATAAAACAGATATGAAAGGAGAAGTAGACAAAGATGCAACTTTAAGCCAGAGACTTTCCTGTCTCAATAACTGTTAAAACAAGTAGGCACAAAAATCAGTAAAGATATAGATGATCTGAACAACACAAGCAGTGTGACTTAATTGATATTTATAAAGCACACCGCAATAGAACACTACATATTCTTCTTAAGTATACATGGAATATTAACCAAGATGATCATATTGTGGGCCATAAAACAAAACCTTTAAAATTCATTCAATGTACATTCATGTACCATAATGAAACTAAATTATAAATCAATAGAGAGTTATCTGGGAAATTATCAATGTTTGAAATTAAAAAAAATATATACTTCTAAAAACCCATAGGACAAAGAGAAGGTCTCAAGAATAGTTAAAAGTATTTTGAATTAAATGAGATAAAATATCAAAATATTACTTGATATGCCAGGTAAAGAGAAAGGGAAATTTATAGCACTAAGTGCATATGTTATAAAAGGACAAATGTRTGAAATGAATAATTTAAGCTTCTGCCTTAGGGAATCAGGGAAAACAGAATCTTAAGCAAGCAGAAAGAGGGAAGTGACAAAAATTAAGCAGAAATTAGAGAAACTGAAAATGGGAAAAGGCCAAAGAAAAATCAATGAAATCACAAGGTGTTTCTTTGAGGAGAAATAAAATTGATAACCAAGGCAAAAAGAGAAAAGATACAAATTACTGTAGCAGAAGCTCACAGACATTAAAAGGGTCATAAGAGAATACTATAAGCTCTATTCCAAGAAATTCAAAAACTTAGATAAAATGCTCAAATTCCTTGATATTTATAAAGCACACCCTCAAGAAAAAGGGGGGAAACACAAGGGTCCTTGGTGACATTGGAAAACTGAGTTTTAATTCAAAAAATGTGAAGCTAAAGATAAATGGAACTATATATAAATACTGTATTGTAGTTGGCAAATTTCTTGTGGGGGGTATAAGCTAACAGTTCTAATTGCTTTATACCTATATTGCAAATGTACAACTAAGTAAATAATGGGGTAGGTTGTGGGAGCCAGGTTTCAGAGAAGGCACTTACAAATAAGCAAGAAAGGAAGGATAGAATAAACCTTCTTGTATGAATTAGTCTCTCTCTCTCTCTCTCTCTCTCTCTCTCTCTCTCTCTCTATATATATATATATATATATATATATATATATATATTATATATATCCACCTAAAGTCCACCTAAAATAGCTTCCAATGCTAACCAAAGCCAGAACAATTTGATCAACAAAATAAGTAACAGCATTTTTGTCACCCAAAGTACAAAATAAATAGACAGGAATTCTACTTATTTAAATAAACAATTGAATGATTGAACAAATAAATGGAGGAACAACAATAAGCCTTCTTCAAAGACGAATTCCAAATAATGTAGGTAGATATTTCTCCCTTCAGCACGTGAAGCTTAATTTTCCTTCTTCCCTGCCCTGAGAGTACACCATACTTAATAATTATTTCCAAAGGACAGAGTACAAAAAGGGAAAAATAATAACTTTACAGGGAGAAACCTGTCAAGCACTACCTAAACTAGCTTGTCAAAGATGAACATCACCAGAGACGAGCCATTTTGTTATCATGTACTCCTGCTATGATGTGATTAAGAGGACAGTTCACCTTGGTGTCATTCTTGCATTAAAGACCTTAACTACTGCAAGATAATTATAAGAAAAACATTAGATACACACAAACAGAGAGACATTCTACAAAATACCTGACCAGTAATCCTCAAAATTGTCAAAATTTTCAAAAGGGTCATGATAAATTAGGAAAGACTGAGAAACTGTCACAAACCAGAGGACATTAAAAGGAGACATCAGAGTTACATGGAATATGGTATCCTGAATTAGATCTTGAACATTAATGGAAAGACTAGTGAAATTCAAATAATGTCTGCAACTAATAGTAATGTGTTAATGTTGATTTCTTGGTTTTAACAAATGTACCTATAAGATGATAACATTAGGAAAAGCAACATTAGGAAATGAAGAATACATGGAAACTTTCTGTACTACCTTTGCAATTTTTCTGTAAATCTAAATAATTCCAAATAAGGTTTATTTTTTAAATGAACACACACACACACACACACATACACACACAGAATTCTGAATGACAAGTGAACATACTCACAATAGATCCTTAATAAAAAAAAAATCAGCTTAAAAACTATATACCCCTCCAAATACACAATGATCAATCTATTAGGAGAGAGATATGTCAGGTCTAGTGGTGTACATCTTAATCTCAGCTACTGTGGAGGCTGAGACAGGAGAATTGCAAACCTGAGGCCAATGTGGGCAACTTAGCAAGGCCCTGTTTCAAAACAAAAAAATGAAAAGAACTGGGGCTTTGATTAGTTGAAGAGCACCTCTGGGGTGAATCCTTAGTATTGCCAAAAGAAAAAGGGGGAGGAGGGAAGAGAGGATGGGGGGGATATGAACAGAGAAGAACAGAAGTAGACATATTAAAATATTAAGACATTAAAAGGGCTGTGGTTGTGGTTCAGTGGCAGAGTGCTTGCCTAGCATATCTGAGGCACTGGGTTTGATTCTCATCATCACATATAAATAAATAAATAAATAAATAAAGGTCCATTAACAACTAAAGATAATTTTTTAAAAAAGATATTACAGGTAGTTAATTCTTAGTGCTGAACTCAGAGATGCTTTTCCATTTTCTTTGTATTTCTCAAATTTGTTACAATGAACAGATATGAGAGGGAAATTTTTTTGTATTTTATATTTTGAAAATTATCTCAATCATTTACAATGGTATGACCCCAAGTTGATCCATGGTGTGTTACTGGGTGCTTTATAAAAAAATAGTCTGTAGTCAGATACGTGTGACTACCTGGCATACTGTGTCCCTCTTCTGAGATTCAAAATGTCTGATAACTTGTAAAAGGCTTTGAGAATTTGACTGATAAAGAAACTTGTTTAACTATATCTTATTTTTTCTGGTGTATTTTGCTCCAAATGTGCAATTATTCATTCATTTGTTCATTCATCATGCATTTTCTGAGTGCCTACTACATTTCAGGTACACTGTCAGCCAATACAATAGTGAACAACACCAGGCTTCTCCCTTTACCGTTATGAAGATTACAGTTTAGCTGGGGACAGAGAAATGAATAAAAGCCACAAATCAGATATATAATTATTAGCATCAGTAATGCTCTGAAGGACACTTCAGAAGAATTCACAAAGAAGTATCTAACCTAACATTGGGTGGAAGAAGAGCAGCCGGAGCAAGAAAAGCTCATCTGGAAAAAGTCATGCTTGAGCTAAAACCTGAACAATGGTAGTTTTCACTACTAAATAAGATGGAGAAAAAGGGGTATGGGTAAGAAAAGAATACTAGTGGACAGGACTACCAGATCACACACAATAGACCTCAATAGATAGGTAACGTAACAAAGACATTACTGACCATTTTCTTCAGTCTTTTCTCTTCTCGTTTTCTCTCAAACTGAGCCTCCTTTTCTTCTGCCTCCCTCTTCTGACGTTCTTCCTCTTGGGCCTTTAACTGGGCCTGATTGAGATTAGAATGCAGAAAAATCAGAACCTTCAATCTGCATGGGAATAAGATTTTTCATGTTGGGTAAGTCAAGTATCCACCAAAGTGCTGCACAATAAATACATGAAAAAAATGTTCAACATCATTAGCAATTAGGGAAATGCAAATCAAGACCACCCTGAGATTTTATTTCTCATCAGAATGGCAGATATCAAGAATACAAACAATAATATATGCTAGAGAGGATATGGAGAAAAAGGAACACTTTTACACTGTTGGTGGGAAAGTAAATTAGTATAACCACTATGAAAATATTATGGAGGTCCCTCAAAGGAAAAGGAATGGAAACACCATGTGATCCCGCCACACTACTCCTATGTATTTATCCTAAAGAAGTAAAGTCACCACATTATAGTGATACATGCATACTCATGTTTATAGCCACACTACAGAAGCAGCCTAGGTATCTATTGACAGATAAAGAAAATGTGGTATATATACACAATGGAGTTTTAGTCAACCATAAATAAAAATAAAATTATATCATTTGCATGAAAATGGATGGACCTTATGTTATGGTTTGGATATGGGTGTCCCCCAAAGCTCAGGCAATGTGAAGTATCCCCCAAAAGTGAGACAATGCAAGAAGGTTCACAGGAGAAATGATTGAGTTGTAAAAGAGTCTTAACCCAATCAGAGAATTAATCCCATTATAGGGATTAACGGAGTAGTTACAGAAGTGGTAGGATATGGCTGGAGGAGGTGGGAATTGGGAGCATGGCTTTGGGMTATATATTTATATCTGGCAAGTGGAGACCTCTCTCTCTGCTATCTGATCATGTGAGCTGCTTCCCTCTGCCACACTCTTCTGGCCATGATGTCCTGCCTTACTTTGAGCCCTAATGTCTGTGGATTGAGACCTCTGAAACCATGAGCCCCTAAATAAACCTTTCCTCCTTTATAGTTGTTCTGGTTGGGTCTTTTAGTCACAACAATAAAAAAGCTGACCAAAACACCTTGAGAACTTTATGTTAAATGAAAAAGTCAAACTCAGAAGGTCAAGGGTTGCATGTTTTCTCTCATATGTGGAATGTAGAGAGGAAAAAGGAAAAGAAAGTGATGGGTAGAGGAGTGAAATGTCTCATGAAAATTAAAGGGAGATAAGTAAAGAAAAATGGGGAATGATACTGGCCAAATTATATTGTTATATTGTGTGCATGTATGAATATGTAACAACAAATTCCACCATTGTATGTAAGTATAATGTATCAATAAAAATATGGAAAAAAAGTTTTTTWAAAATGCCTTCTTTATCTCTGGAATAAGTCTGCACTTTGTGATAAAAGTAGAAAACCCAAACAACATGTGATCCGTTGTATAACTTAAAAAGTTTCTCCAAAAGGATTCTTTTCAACTTGGGAAGATGAGTCTGAGCATGAATAAGACCATTAATTTTTAATCATAAAATGAAAATTTTTTCTTAACTTCACCTGTGAAATACTAAGTCCAGTGTGGGGGAAAGATTTTTTTCCTTTCGTTTCCCCAATACACTCTCCTAGAAAAACTATCAGAACAGTTAATGTATTCCTAATAGGTACAAAATTTACTTCTGACAGTCTAGGTCAAATTTTCGGAAGATAAAAACTATTCTCCTTTGCAAATTCATAAAGTTGGACATCTATCTATAACACTCTAATAATATTGGTTATGTGTGAATCTTCCAAATTGCTAGCTCTCAATAACTTTATATAGTTTCCTTCCTGCTAGGCTAATGATGTTGATGTTTTTCTCCTTCATTTTCTTAAAATGGTTACAGAACTCAGGGAGTAGAACACAAGCCATTTCCAAAGTTGGTCTAACTTTACTGTTTCAGGCTTGAACAAGCAAGGTTTCATTATTTAAGAAACATCTAGACAAATCCTTTTTCTTGCCTCAGTTTGCATTCTGTATTTATTACCAATTTCTCTTCTTCTAGTTTTTTCTTCCTCTCTGCCAAGATCTGCCTACGTTCAGCTCGTTGAATTGCTCTTTCTTCCATGGCTAAAAAATAGTAACAGAATTCCAATATAAAAATATGAGAAACACTGAAAAAGAAATACCTCCATTTAAATGTAATATTTAAGGTTAATTTTAAGATTTTTCTTGTAAATTAAATGTTCACATTCTCAGAGAAAAATTAGATATAAGGACTTATACATGCTGTATAAGTTAAAGGCCTACAATCTAATCCTCAGCAATGATGACCTATTTGTAGGTAATTATGTTTTTATTCACATTTTTATTTGAATAACTCTTTGTGAGCCAAGCATAGCAGGGCATACTTGTAATCCCAGTGACTCCAAAGGTGGAGACAGGAGGATCACAAATCTGAGACCAGTCTCAGAAACTTACAAAGGCCCTAAGCAACTTGGTGAGGTCCTGTCTCACAATAAAATGTAAAAAAAGGGCTAGGGATGTACTMAGTAGTTAAGTGCCCCTGGGTTCAATCCCTAGTACCAAAATCAAAACAAAACAATAACAACAACAACACAAAAAACAAATACAAAACAAAAAACCAAAATAAAACAAAACAAAAAAGAGAAACTCTTTACTGGTTTAGGACTGGGGATATAACTCAGTGGTAAAGTGCTTGCCTAGCATGCACAATTTCCTGAGTTCAATTCCCAATACTGGAAAATAACAATAATAATAACAATAACAACTCTTCACTGGTTTAAATAAGATAATGTGCCTGATTGATAGACATTTAGTATATGAAATGCAGAAGCCAGAATTTTAATTTAGCTATAACTTGATAAACAAAGAAAAATACAACTACATCTAACAAATACTTTGAGAATAGAAGCATTCCATAAATCCCATTTTAAGTGAACCTGCTAATTTTTCTTAAGTCACTGTATATACATCTGTATATGCAGGAACAACAAACAAATTGTAAAGTTTGGGGCCATGATGAATACATTTTAAGTCTAGTCTTAAGACCTGGATATCCAGATGGGCAGGAAATGGAACTGTACCAAGCATTTGGAGAACTGGCATCCAAACGAATTTGAGTGTCAGACTCCTGTTCTTGACAGTCTATTAAGTATCGATCCAAAAGAAACAAATGTGCAAGATGGTCTGATAATATGACTCTGTAATCATGCAGGGCTTTCATAGAAAGGAGGGGTGTGGGTAGGAGGAAGTATCAAGTTCTGCTCACCTAAACCATCTCCGAGTTGCTTTGGGCCATGTTACAGAGAAGATTTAAGACCAAGTTTTAAGAATTAATAAACAAAAACTCACCAAGCTATTTCTTACAGATATTAAGTGTCTGTTTTGCTACAAAAGAATAGTGGTGATGCCACAGATAGCAGGAGTGAGATTGTCCTTAAGAAGACAGAAATAGACTAAAGGATTAAAGTGAGAGAGCTCTGAGAAGTAGAGTTTCTGGTAATATGCCCTTTCCTCATCTTTTCTAGATGGAGTCATTAAAGTCTGCTTGAAAAGTAGACTAGGATTCTAAAATAGCTAACGCCTTGATCAAATAATAATTTTAAAAAACTTATTGCACTGAACTGGCATTTCTTATCAGGCTTAGTGGTGGGCAAAGATAGCATTAACTGTTGCCCTGGCAGATAGTTGATGCAAAGACTGCCTATTTCCAATTAATAGGAATTGAGAACAGTATTTCAGATGTCACCCCTTCTTGTTAGGGTAGCAAGTTTGCCAGAGGTAAAAAGTCAAAAGTCACAATATAATTGTCATCSGTACAAGATGTGACAACATATAACATACTCATTGTATAAACATATACAGTGTGTGACTAAGAATATAATAAAAGCAATTAGCAAATTTACTAGGTGGATTCTGAGAAATGCTCCTGTTCTTACTGTCCTATGTAGTTTTTAAATAAGAGTTTCTATGTGCTTAAAAAATATTATCAAATGAAAATATCTGGTTTATAGCTTTCATTACTAAAACATTACTATCCTCATCACAAAATGACATAATGACTTGGATTGCTATAAACTGACCAGAATTTTAGCATTCATGAATTACAGTGACAGATGATCTTTACAAATAATTAGTCTTAGTAGTTACTCAGAGTTTTCTCATTTGTGTAATTTTCCCATTCTTTTATCACAGCCTGGATCTGAAATTACAGAACAATCACATACCTTTCAACATTGTGTGTGTGTGTGAGCCAGGAAAGCCAAAAAGGATTCCAAAACAGGCAGGAAAAAAGTAGTGAAGCTCCCTGATACATTCCATTCCTCTCCTGTCTACCCATCTTAGATTCTGACCAAGTTCTGCCAAATTTCAAAACCTGAGCTGCCATACTTCAGACCCAGGYATATTATACACTAGGAGAGAAGATGAACAACTTGCCTTTCAGTATGGGATGGGGTGCCTTCAGCTGCTTTGGATTCCTTTTGGGTCCAGAAAGAGAATTTTGGGAGTCACTTCTGCCTTCAGTCCTAGGGAAAATAACAGATGAATTGGAAGGAAAAAAAAGAAAGAAAAAACAATGGAGAAAGATTTCAGACCAACATTCAGCTTCCTTTAATACATTTTTACCTGAGGAGTTCAAAGCATTTTACAAATTTTAATTAATCCTTCCTCTCTGAGATAACTGTGTTATTATTATACCCAGCCTACACACTGGTGTATTAAGGTACAGAAAGACTGCATGGCTAACCTGAACCTACAATGAGAGTCAGGCATTCTGACACCCATTCTAGTGCTTCAAGTCAAGGGTTTCATCTCTTCTTACCATTTATTGCATGTAGTGAGTCTCAAGCACATGTGAAAATATCTTAGAAGACTTTGAGAAATTTGGACTCTTACTCCAGACTTGAAGATATTTAGTTTTATCCTAAGCAACTAAAAATTTAATCTAAGTAATTAGCGAGCCCAGGGGWTGCGCCATGTGTACCTAATGTTGCTCAAGCTGGCTTTTTAGCCTTAAATATAATCAGAAACTTAGAAATCTAGTTAGAGAAAGTTAAGCATTTTTCTCTTTCATTGGATAGTTGGAGAGCTCCTCAGACAAAGGCAGCCATGACCCAAATGCTAACTGTAAAATTGGAACCTTATAGGCAACCACTTGCCTGAAATATCTGTTTATAACTATCATGTATGAGTCACAACATGTGAARATTCTTTGCTTTGAGAGTGCACAATGAAAGAAAAGATCGGGGAGTTTAGAAAAAGTGCAAAACAGTTTAGGAACATCTCTATCTCAAAGTGAAGAGTGTTTGATACAACAGACATACTTCAGAAGCATCTGGCAGGTTCCTTTTGGTTCCTCTGCCCCTTGGGATTTTAACAGGAGGCGATTCTGTGCATCTGTGACTACAGCAGCATGCTTAGCTGCCCACTGAGCCTCTGCCAGGCGCTGTTTTTCCTTCAAATCGAGAATGGTTTTCTGCTGTTCCTGAAGTTTCTTCTTTTGCTTCTCAATCAGCTGTTGCTGGAAGATATGGCGGTTGCAGAAATGCCTTACACAAGCTGGTTCTGCTTTGTAGCTGGTGGTTCTGAGCTTGTCCTCACTGCCTGGCTGTTCAGAGAGCTCAGCATCCAAGGTCTGGGGCTTACTGTCGGGTATGTTCTTTGAGACATTCTGAAGGGGACACTGCAAGTTACTCATTGTTGTCTTTCCTGGGGGAGGAATGAGCATACAGCCATTGCTCTCTAAGGATGAGTTTTCTGATAAAGACGGCACAGCAGTCACCTAAGAGAGAAAGAACATGTTAGAGCTCAACTATTTAAAGAACTCTGTCCATCAGCACTGTTTTGTTTAAGGCACAATGGTCTCACACCCCAGGCAGAACTGCCCTATGCTCTTGGTCTGGTTATCTCAAAGGCCACCAGCCTTGGCTCTGTGAGCCTGTTAGAATGTGCAAAGTTGCTCACCATGAAGAGTGGGTGGAGAAGTGGCTATAGCTGTAAGAACCACTACAAGGGGCCAAGACTCTGGCAACAGGAAAAAAATGTTCTCTTATTAATTAATTTGGTTAATTCACTTGTAAATTAGGCAATTACTTCAGATAAATATGGGAATTTTATGTAAGAATTGACTTTAAATTTTGCAGAAATTTGAAAATTTTGTAGATATATTCTTTCTTAAGAATGTTTAAAAACTAAAGAATATAAATTAATACTAGTTCTATTCTTTTGATGCCTCTCTTGCCACTGGTAAATTAATCCTTTGCCTCAGTGCAATATATTTATTTGCTGCAGCATCAGGCCTAGCTGAAAGCCTAGTCTCCAGCTATTTGTGAGAAGTATTTGGAAGCCCAGGATTACCAGGCAAATATCTGTATAGCATAAGAGTAATATTACTTAACTACTTTGTATTAGCATATGACTTAATCGGTTTCAAAGTTTTATCATGTAAATTTCATTTTTTAAAATATTTATATTTTTTAGTTTTAGGTGGACACAATATCTTTCTTTCTTTCTTTCTTTTTTTTTTTTTTTTTTAATGTGGTGTTGAGGAAGGAACCCAGTGCCTCACGCATGCCAGGCAGGCATGCTACCACTTGAGCCACATCCTCAGCCCATGTAAATTTCATTTAATAGACTGAGCTATCACATGCAATTACAAGTTCTATACAGAAGGGAAGAAAACAAACATTTATAATCAGCAAAACTTACCCAGGCCAAAATAATGTCAAGTTAAAATGTCTCTTTTGAATGATTTGAGTCCATGATCTATGGTCTGATCTGCTATTGATTATGCCATCTTCGGTGGCATAAAGAGAAAAATACTATGAACTATCTAATATCAGAAGCTTTTAAGTCTAAYAGGGTGCCATCTCAGGTACTCAAAACTATTTTTCATGATGATGGAAAAGTGTTCCATAGGCTTAATTCAAGTGAAAATTTTAATATATGGAAACTCTGACATGTTAAAAGACTTTTAAAAATAACCTTTTGTTTCAGAAATGTCGGTGGACATTTACTCATGAGAATACGTGCTTATGTAATATAGCATCAAGCAGGGTATATGTTTTAAGCTCTTTTAAACTTTGTGGTAATGACATGTTATTAACCCAGCAAGACTAAAAGCCTTGAGTAGAGCAACAAGATTTCTTTTAGATCATGGTAACTTTTTAGGTTAAAAATGAGTGAATGGAAGAAAAGCTTAATGGTACACATTGTACTAATAGTTTTGAAAGATTTTTAGGTGGAAGATGTGTGTTCTTGGTATATGAATACCTTGTCTGTATAATTAATGAACATCTAACTACAGAGTTTATGTTTTCATTTGTTTGTTTTACTCTAAACTCTGGAAAAGACTTAATTTTGTAACCGGCAGAATCTATTACAGCCTTCAATTTTCATTTGTTCTATTTTTATAATGTCATCCCTTCTTGATAAAATCTTATTCTTGATTTTAGAGGTTTGGAAGCATTTTTCAGTATGCTCAGCCATTTTCATTTTTTTTTTTCTATTGCTAATGTGTGTGCTTTGTGTTCTGTACAGGTAAAAAATATTTTCTGGGCCTGGGGTTGTGGCTCAATGGTAGGGTGCTTGCTTGACTAGTATGTGTGAGGTCCTGGGTTTGATTCTCAGCACCACATTAAAAAAAATAAATAAAGATCTAGTGTCTATCTACAGGTTAAAAAAAGAATTCTGCTGACTTTTTTTTTTTTTTTCAATTAAAGATAAGGGCAGTGGAACTTTGTAAGGAAAAAGGTTCCATACATCTACTTTTAAGTACAAGTCTCTCTTGGATCTCAATGGAGATAGTGTTATCTAATTGACATAAAGGTAGATAAATTGACTAGGGGAAGGGACCAAAATGTTACATAAGTCCCAATAAGTATCCTCAGGATCCCCCTTCACTGAGAGACTAACTAAGCTTAAATTAAAAGCAGCCTACTTTGCTAGCAGTAATCAGGGTCAAAATAAGGCTGGGGACCTCAGTGCCCAATTTAATTTCACGTGTCTGTGAGTTAAGTACTTAACAGCATTATGAGGAGGGAGGAGGTGACCRGGTAGAGGACCTTCTCCAAAGAGCTCTCTAAACCAGAGAAATGAGGAAAGAAAAAAATGACATAAATGACTTTATAAAAAATTAACAACTGGACACTGTACCAAACACCATAACTAAACCAGAAGACAAATGGAAAAAATGTTTGCAACCTATGTAATTAAAAAGTATCCATAGTCTTAAAAATATAAAGAGCTTCTATAACTAAAAAAATGTACTCAAATAGAAAAATAGACAAGTTACTTTATATCTATATCTTTCTATATTCATATATATCTATATATCCAATATAAAGATGTTTTAACCTCACTAGACATCAAAGAAATGCAAATGATGAAACAATAATCAGATGAAAAGAGAACATGCACTCTAAATTTAATTATTTATACTAAATAAAGCATCATGGGTATATGCAAAGATTTAGCTACTAGGATGTTCACTGAAGCACAATTTAAAATAGTAGCAAACAGGAAACAACTTAAATTCCAGCAACAAATGAGTTAAACAGATATTAGCTTATGGTCTATTACAGAATGTCATTAGTTATCACAAAACAATGGCATGGAATAATAGTCCTTATCCAGTGGTACATATCAAATTTACCTGTAGAACTTTAAAAAAACCACAGGTGTCCCACATCCAGAAGTTCTGATTTGTAGGTCTCATTTTGAAGTATATTTTCAGTTAGAACTGTTTGTTGCTAATGTAATAGCATAAGAAATTCTCGTGTTATATTTTTAAAATGCAAAAATAATTTTTTAGAAAAAATAATTACATTTGTAAATAAAAGAAAAGACCATAAGTTCCTTTTCCTGAATTATGGCAGAGATTTCCTCAATGACCTGACAGAAGGAAATTTAAAAGCTAAATAAAATATTATCGAAGACAATTTGCATATGCTTGAGTAGAAAGTCTACTTCCATGTTATTAGTTACCTCCAAATGATGGAATTATAAATTACTTTCTTTTTTTCTCTGTGATTTTCTTCTACCAAATTACTATAATTGGCACATATATACTTTATTATATGTACTATTATAATAATTAGAAAAATAAAAATATTTAAATTCCTCTTGTAAGTCACAAGTTCATTTAGAAAGGAAATATATGAAGATCAAAGAAGAAAATAAGAGGAATAGAGAAGCTGTAAATAGTGCTTGATCTGTTTCTTCCTAAAGCAGTCTTTCACTTAGTTGTTATAAATTCCCTCTCTATAATATGTACTTACCAACTTTCAACTACTCTAAAGTTGTTATGTGTTTATAGAAAGACGATTTACTTCAAGAAAATAAACACTGCCTGGAAGGTAACCTTTGTACACTGTAGCTGCCCTAACCATTGGATGGCCTAAGACTAGGCAACCTGACCAGGGCTGATGTACCCCAGGCTGTAAAAGTGCAAAGCTCAAATGCAAGTGTTTAATGAGCAGAAGACCAATCAAAGAAAAAACAATGTACCTCCATGTTTCTTACTAGTGAGTCCACTGTGGCTGTTGCCTCCTCAGGTACACTGATGCCTGATGACCACCCACTTGTACTGAGTTTCCCTAGAGATGCTGCCTTCAGCAGCTCATCCATTTTCTTCCTAGTTTCCTCCTTTGCTCGAGCCAGCTCTCTCTTTAGGACCTCTGCACTACACCAATGATGCCATTCTGCAAAGCAGTGTTGAAGAACTTGTTTCCGGTTATACTCAGTGGCCAGTTGTTGTTTTCTAAGCAACAAAGCACTTTCATTAAAATAAAGAAGGCATTTATACTTCATTAGTTGATAAAATAAATGAAACACAAGTCCAAGGGAGTCCCAGAAATGCTCTAGCCTATCCTTTTAGATTAAGCTAAATGAAATGGCTTTAACATTCCCCAGTGCACAGGGTCTCCACATGGAAGGCATAAGCACCTCAAGACAGTACCTTCAAGAAAAAAGAAAAAAGATGAATATTCTGTTCTATCATGTCACAAAAGAATATTAATATTTTTACATGTAAGTGTGTATTTTCTTCATTTCGATGTAAATTTTTTAGATAATTATAATTACTTTAATTTTCACATGCTTTTACCATCTATATATTCTAGTATTTTGATAGCTATAATAAAGTTTAAGTGACAATGATTTAAAAAATAATGACATATATTATTTGCTTTTATTCTGAAGGAATACAAAATTAATAGAAAAAGTTAAGTCCCAATCTAGACGCAGAATTAATCAATTTTATGAACTGTAAGCTTTAAAAAATAGAACTTTAATAGTGATGAACCTTTGCATCTCTACCATCCTCAATGTCCATGTGTTAATATTCCTATTCCTATTTCTTAGAGGAGTTACAATACTAGACTATACAATGTACTAGGCTCATATTTTAATAAATTTTATTTTGTTTAAAAAAAGAATATTAAATTTTTTATAGCCATAAAATAGTTTCTGACCATAAAATAGGGGAAGGAGCAAAAAGAATAGGTATGTAAATAACTTTTAAAAAAAGGAATGCATGAGGGAGAAAGATTCAACTGGGAAGCTAAGGAAGGSAGGCTTGGGAGAAAGGAAAAGGAATAAATTGTCAGTAATTATAAAACTTATAAAAGTAAAATAAAACTATGAGAGTGGATATTATAAATGAAAGACTTGGTAGGAGAATGATCTTTAAAGGGAAGGATTCATTTAAAACCCTTGAACTGAATGAATGACAACATTGTGAACATGCTTGCTAATATTACATACATCCATGAAAGGTAATGGCCAGGCACTTGCTCTCATGAAACTCATTATCTAGCTCTTCCTGAGGAAGAGCTTCTTTCATTCCCCAAAACTTCATAAATGTCAGAAGAAGTGAGTGGAATATTTATCAGAAGACACTTTGGTGATAGCCAGTCAAGAATTCAAGTGGAGGTCTCTGATGTCTACCTACAGGTGGATGGTTATTCCTGGAGAAGTGAGCTTGGAACCTATTATGTGGCATTAGGGATCACTCTGGGGGTTTAAAATCTAATATTTAGATGATTACTTGATTTTATCTTGTAAAGGTGGCTAGTCTAAGTTCTCTATAACACTGCACATAAATTTCTGTTACATATATATAATGCTTAATTCTCATGGACTCTTTGGGGTCATATCAAGAACATCATAAAGTTCTAAAATCAATGAGTCAGGAAAACATTTAAGTTCTTAATGCTTGCATGACTTTTAAAACTCTTTTGAATGCCACCTACAGCAAAGAAAAAAAAAAGTTACGCTGTACCTCAATATATAAGTTTGTGTGTATATGAAACAAAAATATATATAACTGAAACAAAAAATTCATCAAACAATATTTACCCTTATACCAGAGAAACACTGATATTTCTGTTCTAATCTTGTTTTATTTCAGTAATTATAAAACTGAAATATAAGCAACTCTGCTGCTTATGGTTTGACTGTACCTTCTAAAATTCATGCTGAAATTTAATCACTACTGTAACCAGTATAAAGAAGTAGGACCTTTAAAAGGTAATTACACCATATAGGGCTGTACCCTCCCAAATAGATAAATGCCCTTATCACAGAGGGTGGAGAAGGTAGGAGGGCTGGTTAGTTATCTGGAAGGTGGGTTCATGATAAAAAGGATGAGTGACCTCATTTTCTGTCTCTGTGATGTGCATGCTTGTTTGTCCTTCCACCATATTGGGGAAAAGCACAAAAGCCCTGGCAAGATGCAAGTACCATGCATCTTGAAAATCTTGATTTTTTAGCCCCCAGAACCACGAACATAATAAACTTCTAGTGTTTAAAAATTATTCAGTCTGTGGTATTCTGTTGTAGCAACAGAAAACCGGCTAAGACATCTGCTAACAGCATATTTCATTATATCTAATTGATCTTCATGACAGGTACTCAAAAAGTACTTTGTGATTGGTGGGTTTTATAATAAAAGTATATTGTAGGTTATAATAAACATTTGTATATAATATTTTACTTTAATGAAAATAATGTATCTGAGACAGAATAACATTGAATTAAAAATTGTAGAAGAAATAAAAACAATAAATTAGATAATAATGCAGGTAAGAACAAAGCTCTAAAAATACCATTGTATAAATAGGGAAACAAACAAAACACCCTATAATATTTTCTTCAAGTGGGTAAAAATCATCAATTTCCACAGGATAGAAGAATGTTGCTCTGATTAATGTGAAATTCAATTTACATCAATTTGCTCAAGAAGGAGGAGTGTGAAATGTACCTGATGTGCTAATTTCTTGTTTCTATAGCATAAACAGTCAAAATCAGCACTGGGGTTTTGACTGTTAGGGAAGACTTATTTGGACACTATTAAATGGCAAAGAGAAGGCCATTTCTGTAACTAAAATGAGACTAAAAATGTAAAAAAAAAAAAAGAGTATAAAAAATGCATGTTTACTATAGAGTTTAGATCCCATTGTATAATGGTTATGTAGGAGATTCGAAAATGCAGTTAAGATGTCTATATTTGTGGGTTCAGATGGATGAACAGAAGCAAAGAAGCTAGAGATCCAGAGACAAAGTGATCCCACTTCTGCTGCCTTGCAGTTCATTTCAGTAGAGTAATGATGTTCCATATAAGCCAGTTTCTATACTTTTTAAAAGATGACACTAAAATCATTAATATTTCTAAAAGTAAAAAAAAAAAACCCAAACTTCCTAAAACGTTAGTCATATGCAATTTACTTGTGTAACTTCACCTAAAGAAATGGCTTCAGACATAGTTCCCAGATAATTATAAAATGAAGGACAGAGTTCTCTTATGGAAAACAGACTGTCCCAGTATGCTTGCAAGCTAAAATCAGAAAATTTCTAGCGAGAGTATATAAATTGATCATCACAATTATATAACTGCATGCAGAGAAAGGCTGTCTCTGTAGACCTAAGAACATAAAATATAAAAGGTTTAAAAAGGAATGTGTGAACCATGCTACCCAGGATCTACACCTCAAATGATACTTAGTGAGAAGTGCATAATTTAGAACCTAGAAGTCAGAAGAACACTAACCAGATCTGGGGCACAGGAAAGCATCTAAAAATTTCTAAGCTATAGATTCATCCTCAGAAATGGTGTCAATAAGCCCTGCATTGCTTAACCTAAAAGAACTTTATTTTCAAAATATAATTCAATAAGAAAAGAATCTGAAAATATAATACAAAATTCACATGTAAGGTAAAATGCTGAGGGCAAGACTATCAGATGTCTAAAAAATGTCTTGAATTTTTAAAAAAGGGAATAGAAAATAATAAAAAAAACACATATTAGTGATGTGATTGAGTGCTGAAATCTGGTGTAGAACATAAAAACAGCAGTGACACGAACAGCTGCATTTGGGATGAGCAGGTTTAGCAAGAATAGGAATGAGCAAGCTAATGCATTCAATAATGCACTAGGCAGCCCCCAGGGGAAAAGTGGAAGATAAGGCAATTCTGTTTTAAAGAATTTTTAAAGTAAGCTGGCAGCACAAGTCTGGTCCTCCTGCCTCTCTGATAGATATATCAGGAAGTTTATTAGCTACAGATGCCACATGGCTTCTGGCCACTCACCTGGGTACCCAGGTGAGCAGAGAGGAAAGGACAATTGAACATGATTAACAGAGACACTCCATAAATGATTGCCCCAAAGAAGGCTGAAATTAGGAGTGCTGGAAATGAAGAATGCCTGACAACTGAGGATTACAGTGACAACTGAGGATTACAGTAACAACCAGTAAGGGGCTTGAGGGACAGAGACAGAAAGCATGCTCCAGGCAAGTCCCAGGACACCTGTGCAAGAAAGGGCAAGACCAAAGAGGTTGTGGAGGTTAATACAGAGAAGGGCAGAGATATTTGCAAAGAATTGAGAAACTAGGAAGCAGGCCTCAAGAAGGGTTGGCAGAGAATGTTGAAAACAAATCCTGCTTCTTCCTAGTTTTGTCTAGAGCTGGCTGTAAAATCAGAGAGGAAGGGAAAGAGGAGGAATAGAAGATCTGGAACCAATTTGCAAAGCATGCTAATGAAACTGAAAGTACGGTTCAAATTTCAATATTACCATGTCAAAGGTTTGTAAATACTAGAATTTTGTCTCATTACCTAGATAAATTCATCCTTGGGGTTTAGAAATATTTGTTAATGTTGAAATTGTGTTATGATTTTTTATTGAAATTTTATGATACCGTTAGTTACAATACCTAAAGAGATAGGTAAAAATAAAGTGTCCATAATTCCCATTAGGGAAAGCAAGATGCATTTTTAGAAGAAAAAAATGGATAAACCCTTGGAGTTTAGGTGAGACTCTGAGCACAGTGTCAATAAGAAAAGATGGCTGCTAAATTATGAATAAGAAGAGAGGGATTTTTGTTGTTTTAGAGAGAAAGTGTGAAGAACAGAAAAAAAAAAAAAAGCCTGCAAGGTTAAGCCCTGCATAAGGGACAAGGCCAGCAAGAGCAAACCTCAGGGGAGTAACCCAAGTGGGTGCAGGAGATGGAGGATGAGGACTCAGCTAAGATCTGAATAATAGATAAAACAATGATTTCAAGGACACCCAGGGGATGGGCCCCCAAGTCAGTGTGTTTTGTCGATGTGATAAGAATTAAGTTTCTATAATGATGAACTCATTATAATAAATGTTCTCTCCTCTCCCTTGAGCTCACAATTGAGAAAAAATGCTTTAAGGGCTTGGGTTGTGGCTCAGAGGTAGAGCACTCGCCTAGCATGCGTGAGGCAATGGGTTTCATCCTCAGCACCACATTAAAATATTGTGTCCACCTATAACTAAAAAAAATAATATTAAAAAAATGCTTGAAAACCCTACCAATGTGCAGAGAGCCGGGGATTTAGAGGAAAGTGGCACGAAGGAAAGTCTGGGTAGAATGGCTCCTTTTTTCTCATATGTTTCTAGGATGACCTGTCACTTAATAATTTACCAATCTTAGTTTTTATCTGCTATAATCCAAATTTCAGAACAGTTGAAAAAGATGGATGTATCAGGGAATCACAGCCTAGACACTATTTATTTTAACAKTGTGGTATAGGAAAAAGCATCTGACTCACAATCAAAACGATAGGACTCTAGTCCTGGACTAGTTACTCTTAGCTTTGGATTAACAGAGTCACTTATTCTCTCAGAGCCTTCCTTTTATCAACTGTAAAATGAGAGGCTAGATCAGACAATTCTTGAGGTGCCTTCCTGATCTAGGATATTTTTTGTTCTAAAGCTTTGTAGTAAAAAATTATTATAAGTTAAATATTTTCTAACTCTGGCAGTTATGGAAAAAGATTGGTACCCATTCTGAACATTTAAAAATAGACACCTGAAAATAATTCACAGATATGAGACGCAAAGTTCTGAGAAGATCTTTTTTAAAAAAAAATTTGGCACGTCATGCTATTATGAAATCCCCATTTAGTGCTTTTATATTTAAACAGTTTAATTGGAATGGAATCCTAAATTCTCCAGATTTTTCTTCTACAAGTTTCTTCTAGCATGTAAATCTCAGTCTGCTTTTAACTTTGCCATCTCAGTTTCTATTCACTTTATGCCCTCACTCACATTGCTTCCACATTATAACACTTCCAGTTTGCCTACTTTGTCCAACAAATCCTGACATCATTCATTTTTCAGTAAGCAACTTCCCAATTCTTTATATCAAGCACTAAGACTTGAGATTCTGGAAACAAATTATAGGTGAGATTTCTACATGGACCCCCACCCACCCCTACTCTGACGATTTCACCCAGAATACTGCAGAAAGGGAAAGTGACTACCTTTTCACTTAAAAACAATCTTCAAGAATTCACCTTTATTACTAAAGAAAATCTACCTTGTTCTGGTATTTAAAGACATTCAGAAACTGATGGACTTGACAGCTACATACTTAAAGATCTCCATCCAATCCAGGTGGCTATGCTTCATGCCACCACCCAGTTTCCCAAACCCACCCAGAAACATCCTGTTTACCACACAGAACCCAGATCAAATCCCATCTTCTAGACAGAGTTTTTCCTGACACTCTTAAGGAGTTTCCTTGGCCACAGCAGTGTTTCTCTGTGCCACATTCTTAGCAGCAAAAGGGGATGTATTCCTCTGTTTGCAATAGTGCTCAATACCTGTAATGTCTCTAGATCTTGTTTCCTCCAAACAACTATGTAGGAATATGTGCCAGTCTTCTCTGTACTTCCCTAGTGCCTGATGTTGTCATGTGGTTGCAAAGCTCCAGGGGGCATCATGCCCTTCTAAGTAACAACACTTCCATATTTCATTCTGAATGAATGTCAGAGTTGCCAGGAGAAAATGGTTACACATAAGAACATGAAGCCCCCAAATAAACAGATAGTTCCTTCTATATCTATGATATTGATTCTAGAATATAAAGTTGATGAAGGGGGTGGGGCTATGAGGTATAACTCAGTGGTAGAGCATGTGGAATGTGCTTAGTATGTGTGGGTTCAATACCTAGCACTATCTAACAAACAAACAAAAAACAGAATGCAAAGATGAACTTGGAAATAAGAAGAAAAGGTATTTAATTTATCATGGAATAAAGAAAGCTTCATTTAAGGATAAATTTTGTTTCTTGTGCTTGTTATAAGAGAGAACCAATATAAAAGCATCAAAAACCTCTAAATAAGGTGTGGAACAAAAGACAGTAGAGTGGGAGGAATCACTCTTGGCAGGTTGGCCCTCCCAGATGGATGTTCCCTGTGTCCTTAATTAACATTCTATGTGCAGACAGTGATTTCTATCAATGAGGATTATTGGCATATAAATCAAACTCCCTCTTTGAAGCATAGGATGGTCCAAAGTGCAATGTGGCGACATTAGCATTAGGGAAAAGTCTAATACTTGCTTCCTTTAAAGAAAGAAAATTAGGTACATTAGTTTTTAATCAGATAATTTTGTTTGCTTTGATTTTCACTTAAATTTTTCTAGTTGAAATGTAACATAGAAAAACTAATTACCAAATTTTATAAGTAGTTAAGATAATTCTAGTGAGCAGCATTTTTAGAATTTATTTCTAGATTCTTCAGGAGGAAAAGATGCCCTAGTTAAACCCACTAGAAGGATTTTTATGATAAGTAATGGTACCTGTTTTCTTCCCGAAGATCATTTTCCAAGGCTTGAGTCTCCCTCTCCAACTTCTGGGATCTTGTGTAGTCTCTCCAGGCTCTTAGGACCTTCAGTTGGAGTTTCCAGTCAGATAAGGTCCCAGCTTTCCCCAGCTTAATCCTATGATCAAGAATCAGCTTGTGCCAGGCAGAGAAATACCGTTTTTGACACTGCAGTAAAAATATTGGAAAATCACCACTAATGTGTGCTAGTGTTTCTAATATTTAGCACTGAGAGTCCTTTCCTCAGATTTTCCCCTCACACTTTTTCTAATAAATCTAGAAACTTTGATCTTGATGGAAGAGAACAAAGAAAAATTCCTTTACATTTATAGTGATGAGAATTATCCAAGTCATGCAACTGAGGTGTTCTCAGCCTCACAGTTTAAACCAAAATTCCAAATTTCCATTGTGAGGCACTAGTCTCATGGGAAGCTGGAGACACAAGTCATATCTAAAACATGAACTAAGGCACTTGAGAGCCTTGAAAGACCTGCTTCCAACATGATTTGCACTGTCAGGCTGTCTTGGAGCTTAAAATGTCAACCATTTAATTCATTCCTGTTCCTGGCACCACTGATATCCCTGAGGACAAGAGAGCGAAAAGCAACAATTTTAGCTGGGCTACTGATGACCATGTTAGACTTTAGTGAGGAGGTTTAGAGAGACCAACTTAGTTAGATAAGGTCTACCAACCCAAAGGATGTCCTCAGTGTTACTCGTGATCTTAGTCTAAGAAAATCACTGCAACCTAGTCCTTGTCTATCTATTCTATCTTTACTACAAAATTTATGTTCCTTCCTTTCAGCTCTTGGCTTTAATACCAACCATACTATTTCACTATCTATGTTCATGCTAATTTTTCTGTCTTTCTTTTTAGTCCTCTTTCTGCCTGACTACTTTAGGAATCATCTCTCTCAGAAAACTCTTCTATTACCAACCCTCTTCCCAAATGTAACTGCCCACCTACTGTGTTCTCAAGGCCATCTATGCTGTCTTCAATCAAAACACTCTTCATACTGTGTCATAATCACCAGTTTACTGATTTCCACTATACTGTGAGCCTCCTGAGAGAAGAAAATAGGTTCCTAAATGGGAATGGCAAATCTGAGTGTGGGGAGACTAAAACAGGAGGTAAACTCTTGGGAAGTGACTTTACTGGAAATACGAGTGATGCATGATACCAGCTTCAAAGACGTCAGCAGGGCCAGCCAATTTACTGCTTCCTTCTTTATAAAWATATATGATATTCTTTATTATACTTTCTCATTGGGAGAAACCATGGATGGTAAGCTTAAAAAAAATTGTTCCCTTGTCATTATGTCAAATGAGGGCATATTTTCTAGACCTTCACCTTAGATCTTAAAAAGGAGGGGAGAAAGGAAAGGAGGGAGGGAGGAAGGGAAGAAGGAAAGTAGATTTGCTGAATATGGGATATGTCTTTAATCATAACAAAGAGAAGACAGACAGCTGCCAGGTTGAGGGGATATGCTTTTTTCCACTATTTCTTATCTCACAAAATACAGCATAAAAATGATGTTAGTATGTGACACTGTCAAAAGAAAATAACCTATGTCTATCCAGATAAAAAGATTTCTATTGAGTGACTAGGTAAAATATTGTATGCATAGCTGTCTCTAATTTTAACTCTTGGATTATTTCTAATGATGGAGTATTACAAACATAATCCACCTAGACAATAACACTATTAGTAGTGTCTTTGGATTTCTACAGTACTCTTGTCTATAAAGCTTACGTAATTTCCATGTATTATTTTTTTGCTTTGGAGTTTTCAACCCAGGGCCTTGTGCATGCTAGGCAAGTAATCTACCATTAAACTATATCCCCAGCCCTTTATCTTTTATACATGTGTAATATTATTAATTCTTAGATCATGACAAAATGGAAATTGAAAATAATCTTATGATTTACCTCAGCAAGTTAAAACTTCAAGTGGAGAAAGGGTTAATGACTAAATTCACAAGATAAAGAGTTAGTGGTATACCTGAGTTAGCTAGGAAAGAGAGGAATAGAAAGTGGGATATCTGAGACTAAAATTAAAACATTGTATTATCCTGATTAATCTATTTGGTAATTAACCAATCCTAAAAATGAAGGGCAAATTCTTTGTGGCTTTTGTAATGAAAGAAAACTCTTTATATAAATTAACATGGTAGAAGGGCACTGGTTAGAAACTTATCTGAACTTAGGAGGGAAAAACTGGAGTTTATAAATTCTTTAGTTAACATATTTCTTTAAAATACCTAGTAGGAGACTTTGAGAGCAAAATCAGTTTTAAAGGTCTATTATTCAGTTTCATGACACAGAAGTTAACAGCAACAAAGTGACAGACTTACAGAGCAACTGTTTTCTTGAAATTGACTTGCTATTGGTTTTTTCCTGCCTCCTCAAAAGCTTTTCAATTTCAAAATTTTAAATTTAAATAAAAAGAAATTAAGTACAAATCAGATAGMTGCTTAGTTATTCTTGATTCACAGCAAACATTATTCAGGTAAACCCGAGTCCCATGAATGTACTTGGGAAAGAAATCCATTCTCAGCCCTTCTGTTTTCATTTCGAAGGAAAAGCAGAATTGGCATACTTTACTGACATGATCTACTTATTCTCCCTATTCCTCCTCCCCCACCTAATTCTGCTGCTTCCAGGTCTGCCACTCTTTTTCAGCTCTACATTCTAGTACTATTGTAGTGTTGTATGTCTTTGGCTCTTTGAAACAGAACTATTATTTAACACCATAACTGGGTTGAAAGAGGAATGTATTCCATTTAAACCAAGAGACCTTAAAATTTTAACCAGCTCAGTAATTAGTCTGATTGCTTTCCATTTCTTTCCTACTTTCTTTCTGAATAAGATTAAAAAAACATTTCAATACATTTTCAAATATATTATGTATTCATTTCCTAACTTCTACCATCTGTTTATCAGAAGCTCTGGTAACTAAGACTTGAGATAGGTAAAAGTACCAAAAATCACTGTGGGGACGAGCTATTCCTAAGTACATATATATAATGATTTTTTAAAATAAAATACTACAATGCGAAATTTAGAAAGTTTTAAGTAAAATGCTTTCCTTCCCTCAAAATCTTCCACAAGACATCATTTGGTTGTTAAGGATTCTACTCAAGAGAAGAAATGACAGCTCGCCCTGCTAAATTTATTACCTGCACTGGAGTTGCCCTCATTCTGTTGGCAAGAAAAGCTCTTCCCTGAAGTGTAATCACACTGCTGTCACTGCAAATGATTGACGTTAGGTGGAACAGCAATTTGCTATCTAATCTTCATTGTAATTCTAACCCTGTCACTAGAGATGCTTGTTCTGATTAATGGATAACTCATCAAAATTCCTCAGCTATTTCCCTTTTGTCAGAAAGCTCAGTGATAATTGCATCAAAATTCTCTGTCATGGAAAAATAAACAATGAATTGTAAAGAGGACAAAAATGTCAACAAGTTTACAATTTATTTTCACTGAATGGAACTAACGGTGGTGCAACTAGTGGTCAAGGGGAGCTGGCCAAGGCTCAAATGCCAGAAAGAAAGCCACACCACTCCTTGCCTCCAAATAACTCCTGTTGCTCCTGTTCCCAAAAGACAGACATTCTATTGCTACAAAAGGAAGCACTCCCTAACTTCTCTTCTTCCTTTTAGGACCACTGTAGCTAGGCAAGAGACCTCACAGATGTTACAAATAGGCTGGGGTTTGGATAGAGAGGGATATTTACCATGGCAAGATAAATTTCCAGTGGGAAGGACCAGCCCTGAATCTGGCAAGAAAAGAAGTACCCTGTGATCAATCCTATTCCTGGTTTCCATAATTTTGCCCCAAAGAATAGAGAAGAAATCATGGCATCACTCCACCCACAACCATATACATTCCTATAGCTAATTACAGTAGAGGAAATAATTGAGTTCCCAGAACACGGTGTTAAGATTTGGACTGGCTGTTGGGTTCCAAGGAAAAGCCTAGAGACTCAAACTTTAACAATCGCTGCTGTGTGAAACTTCTGTATTTAAATTTTTATCCTTCTTCTTTTAAACTTCTTTAAAAAAAAGCCCTTATTACATAAATTTAACAAACATATCCAAAAGTAGAACAAAAGAATAAATCTTCACTCCGCTTCAAAAATTATCAACATTTTGCCAATCATGTTCCGTCTGTCTCCCACCACCTTTTTTTTCCTTGAGTATTTAAAAATAAATCCCAGACATCAGACATTATATCATTTTACTCATAAATGTGTCAATATGTACCAGTAACATAAGGACGTTTTGTAAATTCTTCTTAATTCTGCTAAGAAGTTTCAATCAACAATATTGCTGTATTTATCTAATACTCTGTCTCACTCTAGAAGTAGTACAGTTTCAGGCAGCAATTCCTTAGTCTCACTATATAGTAAATGCTTAACCAATAGATGGCTCTAGCCTCTTTTAAAGAAGAATGACCTTAATACAACCCAAAACCTAACTATTATTAGGATAGGGCTCCTTTCCTTACATAGCCTGGACCAGTTCTCATGACACATTGTCTTTACAGAAGGCCAACCTACAGCTCCCCGTTGTCTTCTCTTTCCCTTCAAGAATTTCTTTCCCACCCATCCCTAGAACCTGCCCACCCTTCTCCACCACGGCCACACACAAACTACTCCAAGAACACAGCTTACCTCAAAATATATCAGACAAGTGCTTGGTTCACTCTCAGGGTAGTCTGACAGTAAGACAATGACATGATGTCATTTGTTCCTCACCCACTCAAGATCCTTATGAATATTCACCTCAAGTGTCTAGTGTTTAGGGAAAAAGATATTCTACTCTGTAAAACTTTAGAGAACAGACTTCATTTATGCCAAAGGCTCTTTTTTTCAAATTTTAAAAGTAAATTTTAATCAATGCTTTTTCCAAAAGATAAAAAAGTATATATAACCCACGTTTAAGAATATGAACCTCTGGGAGATCTGGGTTCCTCATAGGATGAGGAAAGGCAGACAACAGCAAATAAACAAGCAACCTTCTTGCCCCAACAGATAACTGTAAGTGAAAAATGTCTAGAGTTGGCTAAAGTAATATATAATAATGCTTCAAATGCCTCCCGAAATGCATGCCACACATTGTCCTTTTCAATGAACCTGGAGGGGAGAGTTTCATGAATCCCCATGTTGGCATTTCTTTGTTTTTACAGTTTATTTGCAGAGGTATTCCCTTTACTTCTCTCCTCAAATAYAGATACTGTTGAGAGGATGGTTGCTACATGTCAGTTCAGAAATGGTTTTGCTTCAGTGGTGTGTAGGAAGTTCTGATAAAAGTAACATCTTTGAAAAGGAATCATGCTATATGAATGAGTTACTTAACTACAGTTTTCATCATCCTGTCAGGAAAAAAAATGCAAGTTTCTTTTCCATTCATCTCTATGCTTCATTGGTTGAATTTGGGGTGGGCTTTTGGATAGTGCTATGCCATAGTAAACTATCAACAATGATTTCTTTGAGTCATTATCATCTTACTTTCTAATAGAAAAATCTAGCCAAATCAGCAAATCAAAATCTCCCTCCACCCAGAAAATAAGATTTAGGTCCATGTCACCCTATCTTTCATTATTCTAACTTTAATAAGCAAGAAAGTTTATAGAGTTTCTAATCTTATTTTTTTAAAAAACAAAAATGCATTATAGAATAGAGTGAGAATTAAGAAGCCCATTTTCCAAATACTGTAAGAATTTCAAAGTTAATCCCTTGTTGTCTCTGCTAATTAGCAGTGACACGTGGGTTGCTGAATCTCCCTAAGAGATTTCACCACAAGATCAAAGAGAAACTAGGATAGGATGGAAGTAGAACATTTCTACATAAAAACAGAAGTTTCCGATATAACAAAAAGACCTGTCAATGAAATGGGTAGGAGAGATGCACGAAGAGTGCTGCATCTAAACTTGTATTTTGATAAGAAAGCATTCGCTGTTTCTGAGACTCTCTCATTAAATAATATGACCCAAATGAGATATAAGATTTCCATTGGGAGAACATAAAATCCAGAGTCAAAGCACAAAGAATTACAGGAATTAAAGGAAACTTGAACCACAGCAACTACTAGAAACACATTCTTTTAAAGTCAGCCTTCCAAATACTGTATCCAGCTATGTTTGTTGGGTCTGTACCAGTGAAGCATTTTGAGGGTGCTGATAAGAGTACCCAGTTATCTGGGTGCTCAGTGTAAGTTACCCAGTTCTTATTATGCATCCATTTGTAGATTGCTGAGTATCTAGGTTTCATTACCCAAGGGCAGCTTCAGTCTCCTTTAGAACCAGGCTAGGAATCTGGACTGGGATCAACATAGTGATAGTTGGTAGTAGGTAGGCCTACCTACTCCACTGGCATTTACCAGGACTGTCCAGCCAAGTCTACATAAAAGTGTGAGGTGTCTAGTAAGTAGACTTTCACCACGACTCAGTTATACCTATATATTAGGGAAGTCTAAATTAGAGGTTCACTACTCATTATAAATGAATAGCATTATCACACTGAAAGACAAGGCAAAGAAAAGAACTAACCTAAGTAACTTTGGAAAATAATATTCTGACTAAATACTATAGGCTAAAAACAAAAATAACTGTACAGATATTATACATTATACGTTAGTACATTTGCTTCCATAGTGGTATATGTTAGTAATTCTGAAACTAGATTTATAGTATACTAGTACTAGACAAATAAATAGACTGTGCATAATGAGAACTGGGTGTCTCATTGTCAGAGAAAGAAGTTACAAATCAGCAAGAGGGAAWGGCTATACTGAACCGGGGTGCTAGATTAGCATTGAAAATATCATTATGACAAGTCCCACTATTATGTACAACTATTATGCACCAATAAAAAAATATGAAGAAAATATCATTATAAATTCACAATTACTTAATATATAGTCAGGTAGAACAGAAGTAAGTTACAAATAATAAAAGGGAAAACAAAAACATGACTCCCTGTGTTGTAAAGCTTTCAGAAGAAGCTCTTGGATTTCAACATGTATACAGATATACAGACACAAATCAATAGAATGTGCATGTGGGCATGGGTTAGTGTACCTACAAACATACATTTCCTAGCCCTATCTGCTGAGAGGGCCTAGAAACAATGACATCCCATGGATGGGATGCACATGGATCTTGGTTTATATAAGACCCTTCTCCAATAAAAGGTTCTGTGTAGAAGTAGATAATTCCAGGAGTTATGCCAGGAAAATAGAAGCTAGACCTGGAATACCTTGTGGTGCCATAAAGAAAGGAAGCACTCAGAAAAGGATGGAAGCATGTTGAAAGGTCAAAGAAGCCAGCTGTAAGATTTTCCAATGGCCAAAGTTGGAACAACTGGACATTAGAGTTAACAATATTAGGTTATAACTCATAGAATAAAATAAACATGGGTCAGTCCATACTAAATAAAATGAATAAATGCATAAGCAAATAAATGGGAGAGATGGCATAGTTCCTTCTAGAAGAATTTTAGTTAATAAATCTAGAATAAATGGGGGAAACACAAAGTCACCATTGACAAATACCATATTAATAATGATTGCAGGCAGGATCTATCACTGGATGCTATAATCAATGGATGAGCATTTTAAGGAGGAACAAGGTATTTACATAGCTTTACAATATCTCCTACAAGACATTTATTAATTATGAAAGAGAAAATAGTAACTTTACAATGGAGAAACCCAGGAGACACAATCAACCAAGAGATCAAGGAAACATCAATAATTATGTACTCCTTGACACAATATACTGAGAAAGGCACGGTATCACTTGTAAGTAATTACATGAAAAATGTTTAATCTCATTCTAAGCAGGAGACAACATCATAAAACACAAATTGAGAGACTTTCTACAAAAATACCTGACCAATTCTCTTTAAAAATGTCACGGTCTTAAATGACAGGGTAAGAGTCAGTGCAGAGATACACATCCAGTGTCTCAGGAAGCTGATGCAGGAGGATCACGGTTTGAGGCTAGCCTGGGAAACTTAGTGAGACTCTGTCTCAAAATAAAATAAAAAAGGGCTGCAGATGTAGCTCAGAGGTAGAACACCCCTGGGTGTTCAATTATCAGTACTGGGTGGGTGGGKGGGGGGAATAGACGGTAAGAGAGAAACTGTCATGACACACTGCAGGAAACTAAGGAATAATAATTAAATGCAATATGGATTCATGGTTTGAGTACTGGAGCAGTAAAAGGACATCAATGGAAAAACTGGTGATATTCTCATTGGGTCAACTGTTTAATTAATGGTATCAAAATGGTATTATAACAGTGTTAATTTCCCAGTTTTGATAATTACACTATGCTTATGTAAGATTTTAACATTGAGAAAAGCTGGGTGAAGGGTATTCAAGAACTCTCTGTACTATTTTTAAAACTTTTCTGTATGCCAAAAATTATCTCAAAATAAAATCTTAAAAATAATAAAGTATAGGAAAAAATCAAGCAAAATCTCTTGCAAAGTGGAGATAATTTATTCATGACTTGTCTTTTTTCCCTTTCAAATATATTGACACATCCTTTTAAAACCAAGTAGTCTGTCTGAGATGAATCACTAATTCTGTAAAACTATCTATGTGCTTAACATTCACATATAGCAGTTCCATCTAAAACATATATGACTTCTCATTTCAATACAATTTTAAAATTAATTTTTTAGGGAACACATGTCGTATTCATCCCTCATTGGTTGTGTAACATATCATGGCACTTTTTCCTTCTGGCTTCTCAACATGGTCCCCTGAATATTTATTTCTCTCTCAAATTGCCCTTAGAAATCTTACCTATTATTATAGTAGGTCACATAACTCCATCTGCTCACTAAGATCCAGAAGTCAAGAGTTTTTGAAAATCTTTTTAAAAATAACAACCCCAACTTTTAAGATTTCCTCCCACCATATTTTCCTATTTCTGAAAGCAAAACTGATCAAATTTTTGTTGTTCAATATCTAAATAATATGGCTTCCTACCCATCATTCCAAAATGCTGCCATTAAATATGTCTATCTTTTTAAAAAATCACTTATGCTACTTTATTTTTTTTCCTCATACCTTCTTTGCCCATATTATATTCAATTCCTGTTATTGATTCCTGGGGCCCTTATAAGTCTATCTCTATATTTATCAAGATTCCTCAAAATCTTTCTACCATTATCTCTCTCTCTTTTTTTTTCATTAAATCTGCTCATTCATGCGTTGATTTTATTAACTTTCACTGCATTTCAGCAATACCTAAGGCCCTGGGTGGGTGTTGTAGGAGATAGGAAAAAATTTATACACACACACATATATATTAGGAAAAATTTTATACACACACACATATATATTTTTCTCATCCAACCATCCCATTTGCAAATCTGTCAAGTAATTTGTTTCATGTGAAGTGTAATAAGTCCCAAATTCCTACTTTTATCAGAGCCCAAGGAGGTTACTCAATTGTCAATGTCAAAATGGCAGTTATTTTTACAAAAAGAGAAAGCAAAAAGAAGAAAGGTAAAACGAAATGTAGACCATTAGAGAGAAAAAAAAAACATAAATGTATCATTACTTTGAGATGGGACCTAGCAAAGGGCATGTAACTTGTTCTTTTACCTTCTAAATAACCCAGTCATAATGATGCTTGAGAATATCAAGGTAGAAGTGAAACTTTTAAAAATTTCCAGAGAGCTGTCTATGTAGTTAAATGATATTTTGAAAAGGGTGATTAAGGAGAGTCCTAAATTTATCTGCCAGTTTCCTAGGATCTCACCTAGGCTCTTTATAGTACAAAAAGAATAGCTCCAGAAAGGGAGACCAACATACAGCTCCAGTCTCAGGTCAGCTGGACAACAGAGAATAAATAGTGTGGGCAATTTTGGTATTTAGGATGAGTCTTTCATGGGCTTAGCATTTACTTTATCCCATCTCTGATGCACCTTCTTGTCATTTATACTACAGAAAACTGAATAAAGAGACACTATAATTCCTACCTGGTGATTTTCCTTGAAAGTTTGGATTAATAACTCTTTGAGTTTCCTTTTCCTTTCTTTTGCCACTTTTTCTTCATTCAAAAGAATGTGAGCACTTGGAAACATGTTTTTCTCTGGATTCTTTTGAGAATTTTCTTCTTGTCTTTTCTTCTCTCTGTTAATAACAATTTTAAAATACATACATGTATAATAGAATAACAATGAGTTATTACAACTTACTGTAGTGGAATGAACACTGACAATACATATTTTTAGATTTGGCTCTAAAGTTACATAGTATGATGATTTTTCTGAGTCTTAGTTCTTTACAAAATGTAGGTCAAATGAAATAAAAATTTTTATAAATTATCTTAACAAATAGAAAGTTCTACGGATTATGGGCTGGGGTTGTGGCTCAGAGGTAGAGCGCTCGCCCAGCATGTGTGAGGCACTGAGTTCAATCCTCAGCACCACATAAAATAAAATAAAGAAATTATGTCCACCTATAATTAAAAAATAAATATTAAAAAAAGAAAGTTCTATGGATTATTTTAGTAAAATATTTTTATTCAGTTTATCATCAAACCATACTCTGATGAAAATTTGAGAGTAAACAACTACTAAGTATTCTCTAATGTGGATACGCATTCTCACTCTTCATGTTAGGAGGGTAAAAAGAATCCACAAGTAAGAAAACCACTAGGCTTTTATAAGGTTTCTAGGAAGAAAAATAATAAAAGAACCAAGTGTTATTGGGTAAGGAAAGAATGGAGTCTATAGTAGTTCTAAAATAGCTGACCAGAGAAAAATGTAGAAAAATTTAATAATAAGGAAAGGCCTTTAGGTAAGTTCTAAATAACTTTGTTACTCATTCTCATTTTCCTCTTATTCAGATATTCTTTTTCTTTATTAGTGATAATAAGGCAATGGTGACTTTATGTTTATCAGAAAGGAAGGTGGTAACACAATGCACAGTAGGACAATAAACAATGATAACTTGTCATTCCTGCTTCATTGTGTAATAATAATTTAATCATTTCTCTAATATTTATTAATGTCTGTCATTATAAGAAACATTATCTTAATTATCTTCATAAACAAATCTTTGGACCTTAGATTATTTTTTTGTACTATAATTTCCAGGTCAAGGGATAATACCATTTTTATGGCATACTGTTTATTGCCAAATTGCTTTCTGGAAAGTTTAAATCAGTTCATCCACCTAGAAGTAAAGGACATTATCTTTCTTACTGTAATGATGGGAAAGTTTTTAACTTTTGTAAGAAATTACTGGTCAACGAATATTTGTGGAACACCCATTGTGAACAAAGCATCCTGCTATCATCAAGTGTTACTTGTTTTCACAGTTTATTTTAGGTCAGCCTAGTTTTTCCAGGGCTTGGGTACAATCTGAAAAGCAGAGTTGACCTTAGAAAGAACTCACTAAAACACTGGTGATTGCTTTCTGAAAGGAACGGCATCTGGAGGAGGCCTGRGTCTGGCACTTGAAGGAGTGAAGCGCACATCCACTACTGAGCTGTTTTAAATTGGGTAGAAGGAGAGCAATCAAGAACACAGGGGGGAAAGCTGTGTAGGCTGATGGGCGGAAGGATTATCTAATAGGTCTTTCTGGCCTCTCACTTTGAGTAGGCAGGCACTTTAGTCACGTTGTTCCAAGACTTCAGCAGTTCATGCATCAGTGTTATTTCTCAGAATAAATACGTTCATTATTTCACTTACTGAAGCTCATTTTCTGCATGAGGATGGATAATAGTACTACATCCTTGAGGATTATTTTCATTTTCCTCTTATTCAGATATTCTTTTTCTTTATCAGTGGTAATAAGGCAATGGTGACTTTCTGTATGTTTATCAGAAAGTAAGGTGGTAACACAATGCACAGTAGGACAAGGCATAATTACCAAATATGCATATGGAATAAAGAAACATGTTCAACCTTAAAGGTATTATGCAACCAAGAAATGCAAACTAATCCAACACCTACTGAAAGTATGAAAGTATTGAAAGTGAGATACTCCCCAGTACTGAGAAGTGTGATAAACTGCCCCACTGCCAGTAAATGAGTAAGTACAACCCATTTGAAAGCAATTTGGCAATGTTTCAAGAGCCATAAAAATATCTATACCTTTTATCTCACTAATGACATTCTTAAGATTGTAATTCAAAAGAATAAAAAAATCTTTAGGCTAAGGATGCTCATTGCAATATTATATTGATGAAAAATCTAAATAGCCAACATGCTTAGCAGTACCTGGAGGAGGTCATTGGGCAGGAGGTCATTATATAAAGGATGGTATAGGACCTCAATGGAATAATACACAACCCTCAGAACTCCAGACTGTTTTAATCACAGCAGGATAACAAATTAAATGTACTTTATGGTTGGAATAAAGTATGCAACATGGCCAAGACCAGGAGCAAACATAGAAAAATAAAATCAGTTAATTTGTTAAGAAGATATAATAGATTATATAATGGGATGTCTGTCTGTCTGTCTCTCTCTCTCTCTCTCTCTCTCTCCCTCTCTCTCTTGGCAATACTGGGGAATGAACCCAGGTCTTCTCTCATGCTAGGTCCCCAGCCCATGGGATTTTTCTTTTTTGTTAAGTTATTGCAACGTCTATACATTTTACAAACTTTAGAGTACTTCCAAAATCACTCCCTTAGACAGAAAGCCTCCATACTGCTTATCATACTGGCTTACATTTTCCATGCTTCCTCCACGGTGCGTCTCCTCTCAAGTATCTCCCTCCGGAGCTTCACCATCTCCCTTTGAATGTCCTCCTTTTCTTTCTTGGCCTCCAGAGCCTTCCTTCTCTTCTCTTCTTGCACCAGATACTGAGCCTCCAGGAAGGCTGATTTTTTCAGGGCCTTTTCAATTTTCTGGTATTCTAGTTCTTTCTCACGTCTTAAACGATTTTCTTTTACCTTAGAATACAAGAAGGGTAAAATGCAGCCCTTTCAAGTAGAGGGGAACTGCAAAATTCAGAATACATTTTGAAGTTCAGAATACAACTGATTTGAAATATTCTGGCTCAGAGCCCTGCTGCTTATTGGTAGAATCAGAGAAATTGATTTGTTTACTGGGAAAAGTTTTACATGAAATCAGATGAAGAAGACTCTCAAACCATTGATCCTGCAGCATGGAAAACCTGGGTTTACTGGGTCAGATTCTAAGTTCTGTATTCTTATTAAAAAATGATCTCCCACCCATAGAATTATTCAAGGTGAACATGTCTGCTTTTTATTGAGGTTCTGTCTGCATTCTAATTATAATTCAAGAAAGAACAGGAGTATTCTTTGGAATATTGTGAAAGTTAGAACAGTGATTTATTGTGTTAGGTAACACTACAACTCTTTGTTAATTTCGATTATTATTTAAATAAACCAGTGATTCTGGACCAAAAACATGAACTTTGCACATATTCTGAATAATTATATTCACTTTTTTCAGACCTATCACTTCTTTGGGTGATTGACTGGTCCTTTCCACGCTGCTTCACTTATCTTACTCTCCAGTTGTGATAAGACTTCTAGACAATGGCCATATAGCTTACTGAACCTTCTCTCCTCCTTTTTGTCACACATCCAAACCAGGATTGTATTTGGACCCCTGTTTCTCCAACACCACCAGTGCTGATTAGGCATAACTTACTGGTTTAAACCATTGTTTTTCAAATTTGGCAACCAGAAATTCAGTTATTATAAAAAGATTGCACACACATATATAAATTCCAGTTCAGCCTTAGTCCTGCACAAATGACAAAGACTTGGTCATTCTGACTCTCCGAAGCTTCTTCATAAAGTGTTGAGATAGTCTTTTCCCCTATTACCTACTATTGACTTTGAAAAAAGGAAAGTTCCCACATGCCTTTCTAATTCAAAACAGCTGAACTAGATTTAATTCCGATCTGTCCTCCTTTTCAAATTATAATCACAAAATGAGTGAATTTCAGTTGTCTAGAAAARAATTATCTTTATAATATTCACCAGAATATTCATGATAATATATTAATGTCACTTCAAAAATCAAATTAAAGCAAATGCAATCTACATATTTATAATAGGAAATACCATGCGCAAACTAATAAAGTTTAGTTCAACACTCTTTTGGTCAAAATCAATTATTCTAACTTAGGTTATTTCTTAAATAAATTGTTTCCTATCCTCAGTTTATGAGAATTATTTTTCTTCTGAAGTTCTTATATTTTATTTTTATTCTTTCTAACCAAACCACAGATGGCACCCTTTTTCATAATAAAGCCTAAATCTTTATTTAAGCTTATTAAATGTGTTACACAAAGACTGCTTCCTGTTATCCATTTTAATTTTGTTTTTCCCTCCCACCTGCTTATGTCTCATCTCCATGGTAAGACGAGGATCCTTCTGCTGCTTCTTGTCTTGGTTTTCCTTCATTCCAAGATCTTCCAGCATCCCAGAATCCACCACTTCTCTATGGAGCAGATGGTCTATAAATTTTTGAACAGTGGTACTTTCCTCCTCTTCCTCCAAATAACCATATAAATCTAGGGAAAACAGAACAACAAAGAAAAATTTTTAAAAATTAATTTATATTCATAATTATATAAAGAATCCTGAAAACATACAAAGCCCCAGTGTTCAATAAAGAGTAATTGATAATGCCAATTGGATGAATAAAGCCCTCAGCAATTATTACCTCCAATTCAAGTTAAGAGGAAATAGCTCCACTTATCAGAAATTACCCTCACCCAAGTCACTAAATACTTCTTCACAGCCAAATTTACAAGATACTTCAACTTAAATAACCTTGACACCTATATAACCTAATAACTCCACACCTAAAGAAGTAAAAAGCTTTATAAAGGTGGTATAATTGACATACAATATATAAGAAATATCTAAAGTCTCCAATAAATTTTGACATATGTATTTATCAATAAAACCATCACCATAATCAAGATAATGAATGTGCTCATTACCCACAAAATGTTCTCTAATCTGAAATATTTTTCTCTCCTTCCTATGCCCTCTGTCCTGCTTCAAGTAAGCACAGAACTGCTTTCTGTCAAAAAAAAGTTCACACTATCTAAAATTTTATTTAGGTTAGGCCATACACTATGCACTCTCTTTTGGGTCTGGTTTCTTTCACTTTAGCACAATTATTTAGGAGATTTATCCATTTGGTGTGCATCAAATGGATTAGTTTTTATTGCTGAGTAATACAATATTCCACTGTATAGATATACAACAAATTGGTCATCATTCCTCTGTTGATGGATATTTGGATTGTTTCCAGATTTGGACTATTAGAAATAAAGCTGTTAGGAGCATTTGTATACTAGCTTTTGTATGAACAGAGTCTTTCTTCTACTAGGAAAATGCCTAGGACTCTGATGAGTGGATTACATGGTATGTATATGCTTAACTTTTCAAGAAAACATCAAACCATTGTTCAAGCAGTTTTTCATTCCCACCAGCAAAATGGAAGTGTTCTAGTTCCTCTGCATTCTTACGTGGCACGGCCTGTCTTTTAACTTTAAAACATTTTAATAGATATGTAGTGGTAACGGATTATACTTTTTTCCTTGTACCATTAATATTTATTGAATAACTTTAAAATGCCTTTTTGCTAATGATTAATAATACTACATCTTCCTTGTTAATTTTTGTTGTTATTGTTATATACTTTATTGAGAGTGGGGGTATAGAAGTCTCCACCTATTATTGCTGAATTTTCTCTTCTTCCTTCAGTTTTGCTTTATCCATTGTGGGACTCTTCTCTCAGGTATATATATTTGTAATTGYGTTTCCTTGGTGGATTGGTCTTTTATCATTACAAAATGTACTCTGCYTTTAGGAACAATTTCTTGTTTTAAAGTCCATTTCCTGTCCTACCCCCATATTAGTATAGCCACTCCAGTTCTCTTTTGGTTACTATTTGCATAGTATATCTTTTTTCATTCTTCTATTTCAACTTATCTGGGTCTTGAGTCTAAAGCACGTCTCTTGTAGAGAGGATATATTATGTCATGTATTTTTAATCCATCCTGCCAATCTCTGCCTTTCGACTAGAGTGTTTAAATCCACTTATATTTAATGTATTTCTGATAAAGTGGGTTTACATTTATTCTTTTGGCCCTTGTTTTCTGTATTATGTAAGTGTTCTTTATCAATTTTGAGAATTCTCCTTTTATTACTAGTGTGCTGAAAGTTTTAATCAAGAATGAATGTAGATTTGTCAAGTGCCTTTTCTGTATCTATAGCTATAATTAGAAGTTAATTAGTACTTTTGGTAAATATCCTTTTTAATGGTTACACAGTATTTTGTTCAATATGTTGAGGGGAAAAAAAAAAAAAACCCTCTCCCAGAATAAGATAATTGAGGCTTAGTGTGATACTCAATGATAACAGACAATCTGAGTAAAGGGATATAAGTAGATCTATTAGCATAACATCAAAGGAAGCAACAATTTCACTATATTACATGACTCTGATCCCCTAGCTGGAGATTGTAGAGTTCTAAACAAGGCAAATACTGCCAGGTATTTCTCCAAGGGTGTTTGCTTCATGCACGGGAAGCTGCCCCTAGCATCACCATGCCTAACCCTATACTCAGGGAAGAAAACCTTAGACCCTTGAGTACATTTGAGGAATCCTCATGAATTGGCTAAGTGACTTGTTTAACATTAGCTTTGCACAAAATAGTAAGGAAAGAAAAAGACCTAGAAAAGTGATAACTAATATACAAAGAATTCTGTAGCCAGGTGTGGTAGTACATGTATGTAATCCCAGAGATTCAGGAGACTGAGGCAGGAGGATCACAATTTTGAGGCCAGCTTCAGCAACTTAGTGAGGCCCTCAGAAACTTTAGTGAGACCCTGTTTCCAAAATAACGAACAAACAAAAACAATGGGCTGGGTTGTGGCTTAGTGGTAAAGTGCTCCTGGTTTCAATCCCTGGTACCAAGAGAGAGAGAAAAAAAAAAGAAGAATTTTGTGACTAAAATAATACATTAATGCTTAAACACAGTCTCCACTGAAGTAAATAGTCACGACATAGGAGTAAGAGATACTTTTAATTGCTATTATAATAATAATCAAAATGATAAATAATGGAATATTTTGTTTTGTTTTGTTTTACAGAACAGGGGATAGAACCYGGGGTACTCTATCACTGAGTGATATATTCCCAGCCCTTTTTGGTTTTCATTTTGAGACAGGGTCTTACTAAGTTATCTAGGCTGGACTTGAAATTGCAATCCTCTTAACTCGGCTCCCAAGTAGCTGGGATTATAGGAATACACCACCATGCCCAGCAAATAACAGAATATTTTAAATTTTAAAAAACATCATGAATTTACTTAGGATATAGCATGAGGACTTTACATTCAACCAAGAAAAATTAAAGCTAATAATAAAACCAAACAAAACAGAAAAGTAGAATGACATTGTTTATTATTCAAAATAGTTTAAGGCTTCTTAGACAATTGATTAACATTAAAGCTTAGAACAATTAGATAAGGTCTTACCATCAAACTTGTCATATTTCAAATGGCCACTGGCTTCTGGCATAGCAGTGCTACTTGTGACAGTGTTTTCAGAATCACCTTCTCCATCACTTGCTAATTCTTGCTTAAGTTTRGTGTCTAACCAGTCATTGACCAGCTCCTGAGCTATCAACAAAATAAAACATCTTTTAAATATTTCAGTTACTTCAGAGACTTTCTTTACTCTCTATTTTTATTTATTCAATAAATATCACATATCTATCATGTAGCAAGTACTGTTCTAGATGCTGAGAATATAGCAATGAACAAAACTGGAAAAATAAATCTCACCACTATGAAGCTTATCTTCCAATCGGGAAGATGATGGGTAGAGGAGAGTAAAGAGAAAGAAAAATGAAACAAAGCAGGGCAGGAAATAGAGGATGGTGTTATAGTTCTAAATTGGGTGGTCAAAGAAGGCCTCAATGTGAAATAGATCTTTGAGYTAAGAAGAGAAGGAAGTGAGGAGAGAGCCATGTGGATGTACAAGAGAAGATTATACTATACAGAGAGAAAGCAAAGGTCTTAACAGCACAAATGTCTGAGAAACAACAAGGAGGCTATTGTGGCTGAAGGAGAGTGAGTGAGTGAGAGAACAGTAGGAGATGAGACAGAAGAGGAAATGTGTGGATCAGGCTGGAGTAATGGTTATCAACTGGGGAAGATCTCCGCCCAGCCCTCCCCCTGCCCCCCACCATGGAGACATGGCAATGTCTAGAGTCATTTKGGGTTGTAACAATAAGGGGAAGTGACACTAACATCTAGTGAGCAGAGATCAGGGATGCTGCTAAACATCCTATAAGTCAGGGGATAACCCCCAACAACAAAACGTCTCTAACCCAAAATGTCAATGGTCTGGAGGCTGAATCCCTTTGCTTAGAGTCTTCACATTTCTAGATTTCTTGGCTCCTATTCTTAGTGTACTGAGGAGCCACAGGAGGGTTATGAGCAAAGAGGTGACAAATTTTAAGAGGATCACTTTGACTACTTTGTTTATTAAAAAATAGACTAGAGGGGACAAGCACAGAAGGAGGGATACCAACTGGGATGAACGCAAAAATCCAGGAGAAAGGTTATGAAGGCCTGGACTTGGAGTGAAGGAATTACAAATGGTCAGATTCTACAAAAATGTTGTAAGGAAGAGTTGCCATGACTTGCTGAGGGTCTGAACAGGAGATGTGAGAAAAAGAAAACCACAGATTTTTTGGCTTTAGCAATTGAAAGATGGAGATGCTACTTACTGAGATGGGGAAGGACAAGGGATCAGCAAGTTTGGGGGAAAGATTCAGCCTTTGACATGTTATTTTCAAATGCTTATGAGAGGGTTAGGAATGTAGCTCAGTAGTAGAGCACTTACTTGCCTAGCATGTGTGAGGCCCTGGGTTCAATCCCCAGGACTTGCGAAAAGAAAAAGTTGAGCAGACGCTTATGAGACTAGTCTAAATAGGAATGTCAAATACGTTTTGGTAATTGGATTTAAAAAGAGAGGTCCAAGACGGCATTTAAAGCCACAGAAAATACCAAAGGAAGAAGTTAGAGCAGCTTCAAGAAGCCAGCCCTGGGGAAGTCCACCACTTAGGGCTTGAAGGGAAAAGATGAAGCAGGAAAGCTGAATAGGAAGGAGAGGCCATTGAGGTAGGATGAAAATCAAGAGTGTGATATACTTCCATTTGAACTTGTTTCTTAATGATATTGAGAAAATCTTCTTAAAATACACAGGTATTGGAGTGAAATGTATTCCTTGGCATTGCTTTCATCATTTTTATCAGTATCAAACAGCTCATTTGTGCAGGGAATGAAGATTTTAAAAAAGAAAAGCTTTTGTATTACCTTCATTGCTATTATTATCCTTATCTCATAGCTCTTGGGGAATGGGGTATTTCTCTATTAATGTCAAAAGCATTTAATATAGATATAATAGGAAAAAAATCAGAGTTCAACAGCATCCCTCCTCCATCTTATCAGGAGTTTCATTTTCTATAGTTTTAGTTTCTTGTGCTCAACGATAGCCAAAAAATATTAAATGGACAATTCCAGAAATAATTGATAAGTTTTAAATGAACAGTGTTCTGAGCAGCATAATAAAGTCTTGTGCCATCCTGCTCCATCCCACCTAGGATGTAACTCATCATTGTCCAGCATATCCACACTGGGTACACCACCTGCTTTTTAGTCACTTAGTTGCAATCTCACTTATCAGATTGCCTATCATGATACACAGTACTTGTGTTCAAGTAACTCCCAGGCAGTAGTCTAATGCTATGTCACAATGCCTATGTCATTCACCTTGCTTCACCTCATCACATGGGCACGGTATCATCTCACCTTTTAAGAAGAGTGATTACTAGATAAGGTATTTTAAGAGATGGAGATCACATTCACACAACCTTCATTACAGTATAGCTATAATTGTTCTATTTTATTATTATTATTATTATTATTATTATTAATATATTACTGTCCCTAATTTATAAATTAAATATTATCATAAGTAGCATGCATAAGGTTCAGTACAATCTCCAGTTTCAGGCATACACTGGGGGGGAATCTTGGAATGTATCCCTTATGGATACAGAGGTAAGTAGGGGAGACTACCATAGTAGAAACTAAGTATAACAAAAATACTAGCAACAAAAACTGTTGGCTTTCAGAGGAAGGTAGAGAAAGGAGCAGATATTTATTGAGTAACTCTTGGGTATAATAAATTCAGGCATTTATGTGTATAATAGTTTATATATAAAAATAATTTGGATGTATCAAGGGCCATTCACTGGAAATTAAGGATTTACTATTAAGTACCCCTAAAAGAACAAAGAAAGGAAACTTCTCTTGGAGGATTAAGCTATAGAAACCCCCCATATTGAATCAGACGCGAGGCTGGGAGGTTACTTATAAGCAATTTCTCAAATGATGATCCTCACAACACTAGTTCTTGTACAACACATTGTTGTAAAATATTTAGTTGATAGGAGGAGAAAAAATGAGTAAATCTTTGAACACCATGTTCTGTCCATAAACTACTACAGTGAATCACTAGTTTCTTAGGATATTAACAGCTAGTTCAGGATTAAAGGAGGTTTATGGGCTAGACAGTTTTTAACCATAGGACTTTGGGGAACGCTTAATAGGCTCACATATATTTTATATTCCTATTGGCAGAATGGGAGGCAGGTGGACAAGACACRGACCTGCCAATTTCACAATCTCCTTTTTCTATGTCCAGTACTATTGTAACCACCTGAGAACAATCACTACTGTTGCTCACTCCAGACCACTGCAAAAGCCTTCCACTGATTACTTTTCTCCCTTGTTCATTCCATTTTTCATACATTTAAAAAACTATCCTAAAAGATCTTTGCCCCATTAAATCATACTCAATGAAATCTAAATTCTTTTCTGGGGCCTATAATGTCCTATGTGATTTGTATCTGCTCACTCCTTCAAGTTCATATCTGCTGGGAGGCTCTAGCCACACATGTCTTGCTTCAGTTCCTCACCTACACCAAGCCTGTCTGAACTTTAAGCTCCCAATGTGACCTTTCCCTCTGCCAGGGAAGCACTTTTTTTGCCATCGTGGCTCCTTGTTATTCAGGTCCAAACTTGACTGACCTTTCCCTTCCTAATGATTTGTCTGTCATTTTCTTTATTCTCACATTAGAATGTACACGCCATTACTTCCAGTGCCTAAAATCTTAGAGTAAGAATCATGTATATAGGTGTTGAGTAAATGAAGAAATAAACTAAACAGTTGAAGACATATACAATCCAAACGAAAAGCTGGCTTGTAGGGCATCATACTTGGACTTCCCACCTACCTCAGCAGTTTCTCCTTCACAGTAGCCTTCGCTAGTTCCTCCTGATCCCTCAGTCAGGAAGAACCAGTAAAGTACTTCCTCGGAGCATTATAAATTAGGATACCAAATTCCAAATGAAGGGAGCTTTGGGGGACTTTTGAGAGGTAGAGAAGTTAGGTTGGTTTTAGATCTCTTCATAATGCACAAAATTGGTTTTATTAACTAGTGGTTGAATTATCAATAGAAGGCCACATCAGTGCCATAGGACGAATACAACATTTACCAGTTAACTATTAAAAATGCCTCTGAATGTGGCTGTTTCTATTTCAGGAAACAAAATGGACTTTAAATATGCCCTTACATATAGTGACAGGGTTAATTTCAGAGTAAAATAGCTTCAAGGAAATAGAAAGAAAGAAAAATTAGGAGCAAGAGTAAGAAAAGCTTTCAGTCTTTGATATGTATTATAGGATATGCTTTGAAAACTGTTAACATCACAGCAAAAAATACATTCTCTCACCTTCTGTRTAGACTTCATCATGATCCACTGTTTGCTCAGATGTTTCCAAATCTATCATTTGGTCCTGAATCCTTCCAGGTAAGTGCGAATTTCTGGCTGAAAATGCATTCAAAACTGCAAATTCTGAGGCTTTCTCCACTCTCTTCAGCATAACAGAAAACAGTCTATTAAGATGATAGTAACCTTGTTTGGGGTTAGACAACTTCTCTCTTACTCAACTGATTTTTCTACTCATTTCTCAGATTCTTTCATTTTTAAAATTTTGACAAAATTCTGAGGTTTATACATCTACACCAAATAATTTTTACTTTCATGTGTGACATTGAATTAATTGCAGCATTTTATCAAGACATGACAGATGGTCACAATGTTTATATAAAAAGTTATTTAAGCTTTAGATAACTTTTTTTAGGGCCTTAGTAATGAGATCCTGAGACTGGATATTTTATTTTAAATAAAATATAATATTTTATTAGTTTCCCTACCACTGAGACTTGTGTATGAATATAGACCAGAGACTGAGTAACTACAATATCCTCAAATTACTGCTCCTGAAAGGAACCTACTATCATATATTAGGCAAATCACAGGTTCAATAAAATTGAGATAAATAGTATGAAATCGAAGTCATCCAGAATATTTAACTAAACAGTGAGAGTTTAGTAAAAATAGGACCAAATTCATGGGTTTGGGGAAGGAAATGGTGGAAGTGGGCAAACTACCTTGGCATCTGGACTTATCTGCATAGTACAAAATGAGTTATTTTATAACTAACTCAAGACTTTCCCTCTTCCCAAGAACCTGCTTCCCCTATGCTTACTGTGCTCATAGTCTTCCAACTCAGGGAGTGATAACTTCTTTCTTTTAGTTCTTAAAGAGGAAAACTTAAGAGTCTTCCTTAAACCAAGCCCTACCCTCCTCCKCCTCTTCCTTCTTCTCTCTCTCTCTCCCTCCCTCCCGCTCTGTACCTCTCCTTTTCTCCTCCCTCCCCATCCTCAGACAATATGTCAAGAAAACTGTGGGCTTTATTTTCAAAATGTATTCACAATCTGACCCCTCCCCATCACTATCACCTGGGTCCAAGACACAACTCTCTGACAGATTTTCTAGAATAGCCTCTGACCACAGCAGTGAGTGATCATTTAAACTGAAAGCCATATCATGCCATAACACCACTCAAACCCCATCAATGGTTCCCTATCTCAATCAGAATAAAGTCAAATCCTTACAATGTGCTTCAATGTCCAGGGCCCTTTGGAAGCTCTCCAACCTCCCCACCTACTCACTCTGCTTCACCCACACCAAGTGTGTTACCAGCTCAAGGCTTCTGTACTTAATCCCCTCTGCATGCACAACTCTCCCACACACATCCCTATGACTCCTTTGCTCAAACATCGCCTTCTCAGTAAAGGCCCTCTCTGCCCACCATATGTGAAATTGTAACCACCTTCCTCTTGCTCCCCTTCTTTATAGAGCTTTTCACTTTACACATATTTTCTCATGTATTGTCTCCTCCAAGTAGCATGCTGGCAGAGATCRTTTTCTCTTCCACTTGTGTACCCCTAGCAACCAGAATAATGCTTGGCACTTAACAGGTGCCCAATAAATGTTTGCTGAAGGAATGAATTGACGAAAGATTAATTTTTAAAAGATGCACTTTCCCCTATTATATTTTCACCTGGCCTATTTTGAAAATAGCTTTTCCCCTTGCCCTGGGTGATGAAACTAGGAGTGCCTCTACAAAAACTTGCCAGGGGTTTAACTGTCTCATTCTCATGTTTCATGTATTAGGTTTAAATTAGAAGTCAAGGAATAAAATTTAAAAGTTGAGGGCAATTTGAAAAAGATGTGGAAAATAGAACTGTAGGAAAACCTATAAACCAGAAGAAAATGTGATTTCATCAGAGTTAAAGTTAAGGAAATATCATTCACTCYTTATAAGATCACTCTGTAGAGACCTGTTTGCCCCCATTATTTCTTTTACCAATTTATGTTGGTGGCATATGTACTTCATTGAATTTATAGTTGGTATAGTATTCCCCTTTAGGTTATTAAGACAGCAAGATAAATTTTACATATACTATATGTTTGTATATACATGTATATGTAAAYRTTGTACAAATAAATTAATCAACTTCAGTATTTTTAAACTGATACCCACAAAAATGAATGACAAAAACAGATTTTTAGACCTGACTTAGTTCTTAAGGCTATGAATAAAATAAATAACTACATATCATGTGACTTTTCATCTGGGTTGGAATTTGTGCACACTCTTAACAGAGGAAGGTAAAGAGCTTGGGAGATAAGGGAAGAAAGACTGTTCTTGGTACTAAAGAAAGCCTGGTAAAGGGAGTAAAGATAAATGTCTACTTGGCTTTAAGAAAGCAAGTGCTTGGGATATCACTTAAAATAAAGATTTGTGTCATTGCCTATTAGATGATACTAAGGATTAGAAAAAAATCTGGTTTTTGTCTTAAAATATTACTTATGTTTTTCAAAATAAATGTGCAAGAGTTAGGAGAGATCTATCCTATACTCCAATAAAACACACTGTGTCAAAGTAATATCTTATTCTTTCAGCAAGTCCATATTGAAGACTAGCTCTGTTCCCAGTACTATAATGGGTATTAAGGGGAAATGAACATAGGTTTCTGTACTTTAAAAAGTTCATGTTTTTATTTTTGGTTCCATATGCCATGTGCACAATAAACAACAGTTCCAAAGCAAGACAGAGTGATTTAAAAGAGCCAAATACCTTCAAAAGTTTATTATTCAGTAGCTATGTTACATGTAAGCATGTGATCTGTAGAGGAACTGTCTCAGTTGTTCCTGCAGTCTTATATGTGCATCTTGTGTCTGATGGATCATTATGGAAGAAAGAAATAGTGGCTTACATGTGGTCCTTCATTTCCTCGAGACTGGGTGGTACAAACACAAGTTTTCTAATATACCCCTATGTGTACATAGCATGCTCATTCAGAACAGTTTTGTACGTAATATATTTTTAAAGCACCCAATTCTCTTTTAATCCCCTTGTATAAAATCAAATCCTTGATATTGTATCAATAATTGTGAATACAAATGCCAAAAAATTTCTAAGGGAAAGAGTATTAAAGAATGGCATTATGTGGTTGAGATGAGTGAGGGGGTTTTGTTCACTAAGAGGGACATCTCAAGCTGAGCTGTAAGGGAATAATCAGGACTACCTCTCAGAGAAGACATACTCCAGGCTGAGGGATCAGCATGAGTCAAAGCAAAAGGAACCCCTACTTGATGGAGGGAAAGAAGAATGGCCTGACAGGAGCAGGAGTCACACAGAGTATCAGTACAGGAGCTGTTTCAGGTAAATGGATATTATAAGTTGATTGACACACGGCCTTAAATGCCCATCTGGAATTTAGTTTCATATGATGGTACAAAAAGTCACTAAAGGCTCTAGAGTAGAAAATTGACCTGGTGAAAATGTTTAGAATGTTTAATCAGGTAGGAGAATGCACTGGAGTAAGATGAGTCAGTCTATCAACTTGAGATGAAGATAATTGTAAATCATGGCCTGTTGTATTTTGGGTGAGCTGCCATAGGATTYAGTACTAACCAAGCATCTTCTGGAATCTAAGTGATTTCAAGACTTCCCTGAGGATGACTCACTACTATCTCAGCCTAAAGGTTTTCTAGGTCTTCTGCATTCCAACAGCCTTCCCTTTTATTCCACTTTAGCAACTCTCAGACAGTCACTCTGAACCATGTTGCACATTATTTTTCATTTCTTGATCCAAACTCTTGATAACCCCTCTCCAACAACAACCTCCAAACCAATTCCCTGCTTCACTCCCTGTACTCCCATGACATTGATAAGGACCTGATCAACTGTTCCAAACTCCATATTCCCCCTAATCTATGAATCTTCCCTTACTACTCAGCATGGCTATTCAGCTAATATCCTACAATATTCTCAAATCTCTGTTCCTTTGTATTTGCAACGAAAACCTCCAAGCCTAGATAATCTGATCTATCAATTTTGGGTACCATGAAAAATTATGGTTACTTTCTTCAGTCATGTCCATATTGCTGCTGAGAAATCTTCCTTTTCCTMTGAAGAGAGGCCTGTCTCAATCTTCTTGATCCTTCACACCCTTTCCATATATACCCCCCTCCATCTGTGGAACAAAATCTCTGMTAATTTTAAAAGGGTAGTCCCCTCAAGTGGATTTGGAAGTCTTAGTTCCAGAGGTTAGAACTACTTGGGTTACACCCAGAGTTGGGATATATAGGGGGGAAAATCAGAAAAGAAGAAACTAGACAGAGAGGTAGTAGGAGAAGCAGGAGAAAACAGTGCTACAGAAAAGATAAAGTAAGAAAAAAGTCATAACTACCAAATGAAATTTGTAAAAATTTGAGGTCTATCAAGAGACTGCTGAATTTGGTCAGGAAGTCATTTATAATAACAGTTTTTGTGTAATGGAAACTGAACTAAGAAATGGAAACTGAAAGAAAATAATTGTGGACATGAGAGAAAAATACAAAGGCAAGGAGTCCAGACTATACATCTAAAGACATTAGATAAGAAAATAAAATCACTCAGCGATCAGAATGGACTGCAGGGTCAAGTAAGGACTTATTGATTTTTTTTTCAGGATGGGAGATTTGAGGACATAATGGAAAAAAAGTCATTGCCGAAGTGATAGAGGAATGATACAAATCGGAGTCAAGCTGGCTGACAATTGTATGAAAGAGGAAAATGATATTGACAAGAGTAGCATTTTATCCTCCCAATTTAGTTAAATCTTTCTCTCTAGAAGAGAAGGTTACTAGCTGGTGACCAAGCCAGGCAGGGGCCTGGTACTGGGCCTGTCAACAGTGACACACAAGTTAGACTTACTAGATGTTAAATGGTCTTCTCAGAGGCCAAGTAGCCTTCATGATGGTGGAACTATTGTAGYTGTCTTCTGAGTCAGGCCTTCTGAAGTACTGAGGAAGTCTTCCCTAGTCCCATCTATATTAATGCCTCCCACCACATGCTTCCATTACATCTTTAACTTTCTACTCATCTTTAGGAAGGTTGTTTGTGTCCCAATGAACTATAAACTCTGCGTGGCCAAGGACTATGCTTGCCCTGTATCCTGTTTTAGCTTCAGCATCAAACTCAKTGGACTAGTACTTAGTGGGCATTTAATAAATACCAGTCAAATAACTGAATGGATAAAATTATTACATCTGGCCTAGGTTCCATCTGCMCTGGTGCTCACAAGGCATGCCAATTTATATAAGTAATAACTCTTCAAAGTACTATTAAGCAGAAGGATATTTTCCTAGGAAAACAATGCATGATTTTGAACTATGAAGTACACAAATGAACTGATTAGCAAGTTGACAACCCAACACTTAGAGACATGCACTTGATGTGGTTTAAAGGAACTTTCAACATACATGGTATCTAGATTCAAAAAAATACATCTCAGGACTAGAAGAGATCTCCCAGGATTTCTAAACCATGCTATCTCAGTAAATATTCAAACATATTCTTCAGTAGCCTAATAGTAAATGACCTTTCTGGGTCATTTAGGATCACTAAATTTTTGGATCCAAAATTAGACATTAGCAAATTCTTGTGATACTCAGCTTTCACCCACAAGTTCCCTTTGTTAATATAACTACAGTATAGTCTTGGCAGCATCTGAGGAAGATACAAGGCTTCTCCTCCCCTGCTCTTTTAATCTCCTTCATGTGATACTCATGGCATTTKAAAGGGCATATCTATACATCTGTTTTCTAATTTTCATACTTCAATGCTTTCATGAGAAGCAACAGAGTAACAAAAAAATACTAAAAAGTATAAAATTAAGGCAACATATATAACTACACAGAATAAAAATAGTCAAGCATGTACAAAGTATTTCTTTTCCATCTAATTATGCCTGAATTTCAATTTTCTTTCCATCCTAATTTTGAAATATTCTTACCTTAATCCAGTGCTCCACATTGTCAGGGTCAAAAGCAGGCTGCAGAAAATATATATAGAATATTAATGCACTGCATTATCTTTATTAACTTGTTCATTTTATCTGTTTTTATGACTAAAGCATGTGGAAATGTATCCTTTATTCTTTTTTCCCAAAGTATTTCATTGGAAAGTTCAGCACTGATTGACAATAAAAGAACAGAAATAACAGCACAAGAAGAGGTTTGAAGCCTTCTCTGGGACATTGTCTATTTTTTTATTTCTTGTCTATCCTACCTTGAGATTTGGATTTAATTTTTCTGGGTAAGGCCCAGATATCAGTATTTTTTTAAAGGTACCAGAGTTATGAGTCAAGATGTAAAAATGCTACATATAATGCTGTGCACAAGATCCAAACAAGTACTAATTAATTAGGCTGTCCGAGTAATTATCTGCTGGGAGAAAGGCATGATACTCTCCTTCCTCTTTTCAGGAATGGCCTGGAGACAGAGGCTTTCCTGACTTACTTATATCAGAGATATTGTTTGGTAATAAGAACTGGGGAATTGGGGTGAGCATTTATCATCTGACTTCTACTGTTCTACCAAGCAGAAAATAAGATGGAAAATAAATTAATTTCTACTCAGATCAGTCAGATATTAATCTAAAATTAGTAATCTGAACATAAGGATACCTCCTTTCTTTATTTTCTGTAACTCTCAGAAGGTTGCAAAAATCCCTGTGCTAGTCACTTAATAAGCATACATATTTGCTTTGCTAAAAATTCAGGTAGGTTTTAAAAATAAGGCTATATCTCCAATGTGATGCAATACTATTCAAAATATCAATGACATTCTTCACAGAACTAGAAAAAACAGTCCTAAATTCATAGGGAAGAATAAAAGACCCAGAATGGTCAAAGCAATTTAGAGCAATAAGAGCAATTCTGAAGGCATCACAACACTTGATCTCAAATTATATTACAGAGTTATAGTAACAAAAACAGCATGGTACTGGCATAGAAACAGACATGTATACAAATGGAATAAAATAAAAGACACAGGGACAAGCAAACACAGATACAAACCCACATCTGATCCTTGACAAAGATGCCAAAAACATATATTAGAGAACAGACAGCCTTTTAAAAAAATTTTATTGAGAGAGAGAGAGAGAGAGAGAGAATTTTTTAATATTTTATTTTTTAATTTTTGGTGGAGACAACATCTTTATTTTATTTTACTTTTTATGGGGTGCTGAGGATCGAACCCAGCGCCCCACGCATGACATGCAAGCACGTTACCGTTTGAGCCACATCCCCAGCCCCAGACAGCCTTTTTAAACAAATGTTGGGAAAACTAGATTTTCTTATGTAGAAGAATGAAACTTGACCCCTACTTCTCACCCTGCACAAAAGTCAACTCAAAGTGGATCAAAGACCTAGGAATTAGACAGAAACTCCAACTGCTAGAAGAAAACATAGGGTCAACATTCCAATATATAGGAACAGGTATCAACTTCCTTAATTGACTATTGTTAAAGCTCAGAAAATAAATCATGAATTAATAAACMGAGTAGCATCAAATTAAAAGGCTTCTGCACAGGAAAAGAAACATGAAGAGAAAGCCCACATAATGGGAGAAAACCTTTGCCAACTTAAGATTAATATCCAGAATTAGTAKCCAGAATATATAAAGAACTCAAAAAACTTAACACCAAAACAAACAAACAAGAACAACTCAAATAACCCAATCAATAAATGGATAAATGAACTAAACAGGTATTTCTCAAAAGAAGAAATACAAATGGCTAAAAATATATGAAACATGTTTAACACATTTAGCAATAAAGGAAATACAAATCAAAAGTACATTCAGATTTTATCTCAGAACAGTTAGAATGGCAATAATTAAGAATACGGATAATGATAAATGCTGGCAAGGATGTGAGGAAAGAGGAACACTCCTACAAAAAACTATTGGTGAGATTGTAAATTAGTACATTCATTATGAAAATCAGATGGAGGTTCCTTAAAAGCCACCATTTGATCCAGCTAATACCATTCTTCTGGATTTATCCTAAAGAATTAAAGTCAGCATACTATAGTGATACATGCATAGCCATATTTATAGCAGCACAATTCACAATACAYAAGTTATGGAACCAACCTAGGTGTCCATCATGGATGAATGGCTAAAGAAAATGTGGTTATATACACAACAATGTTTTCACACAGTCATACAGAAGAATAAAATTGTCATTTGCAGGAAAATGGAAGGAACTGGAGAACATTACACTGGGAAAAATAAGCCAGACTCAAAGTCAAGGGTTATATGCTTTTTCTCATATGTGGAAGCTAGAGAGAAAAAAAGAGGTGGGAGGGATCTCATGAAAATAGAAGGAAGACCAGTAGAAGATGGGGATTAGTGGGAGGAAGGAGAGGAGAGAAAGGGGAAGTACAAGGAATGAAAYAGACCAAATTATGCTATGTGCAGTTATGAATRTATCACAATGAAGCCTACTATTATGTATAATTATAATTCACCAATAAAATATTAAAATAAATAATAACATTGCATAAAGAAAAAATAAGGATATAGCTAAACTAGCATTCTGACTCATGGAAGTGGGAAAGGCATAACTTTCTTTCACTTATCTACACTTCACGTTATATCAAATTAATTAATGCAGTTTCATTGCTGAATTATTTTGTMACTGGAAGAGCTAATCCTATTAAAACCAAACTTCAAGGCATTCTTGTGTTTTTTTTTTTTAATTTTTATCTTCTAGGCAGTAACAATAAGTGCTATCAGCAAAAGTTCCTCCCTATGGAGTCCTAAGAAATTGTCCCAAATTTTTACCTTTCATCATCAAGTCTATATTCATAAACTATTTTTGGATCCAATCTATTATGCAACTGATACATTGCAGTAGCAGCAGCCTCAGTTTCCAAGTCTCCTAATGCTCCAGTCTATGTCCTCCAGTATCTGGAGCAAGATTTTCAACAAGTGAAATATGTCCAGTGCATTTAGTTGGTATATTTAGAATAAACCACAAGAACAAATGCCTGAGGCCCTCACAGAAGGCCACAAACTTGCAGGTTTTTTGTTTTTTTAAAGGAAAGTGTAACTGAAGGGTGAAAATGCTCTGGAGCTGAAAGCTAAGAAGCCGCTCCATTTTAGTGGTCTCATTTACATTGAAGGATTTATTTTTGTGACCGTTAAAAGGTACCCTAAAAGGTATACACTGTGTGACTTTGTACATGTCACTTCTTTGTTTCAAGTTTGAAACGGGGTTATCATTTTTTGTGTGTCTCTTCAGGATCTAGTGCATCAAAAGAGATGCCAGATGTAAAAGGATCTATTTTTGAATAGTGGTTGAATTTGGAAATTACCATGTGAATCAAGTATTGATGTAATTTAATAATGACTTGGACAACTTTGTTCATTTTAGATACTGTATGTAGGATGGAAAGCAGGGAGAGAAATAGACAAAAGCATTTAAACTTATGATCTCTCCCTTTCAATAAAGATCAGTTATTGCAGATTTGCACACACACACACACACACACACACACACACACAAACATTTTTAAAGAAAGAAAGACAAGAAAGGGAAGGAAATATGCAGGAAGGTTCCTGAAATTGGTGGCAGGGGAGGGGTGGGTGCCAAGGTCGCGAATTCTCTTCACCCTGATGCGCAGTAGAGGACCTCTTGGGTTTGAGAACATTAGATGGGAACAATTGTTCCCTGACGCTGTCCACCCAGATCCTAAAGTTCCTATACCCATTTCACTTAGTGTGGATTCCAGGACAGTCAAGGCCAGGTAAGGCTGCCCCTGGGGGAAGTCGGAGGAAGCACAGGAAGGGTAGCGGCTGTTTCGGGACAGGGTAGAGGCGGTAGCGGCTATTTCGGGATTGGGCAGCATTTTGGGCGATCCTTGTCCCCCCACAAAGCTCCCGACTGGGATCACCTTGGGATTCGGCTTCCTTGTGAACTGTTTCCAGCGATTCACCCCCATCCTCTTCTTTGAGGTGGACTTTTCCTGGGTAGCCAGCAGCATTTTCCAGGTTCGGTCCCGGACCTCGGCCAAAGCTCCAACAACCACTCCTCAGTCCAAGCAGCTTCCGGGTCGCACTGGGAGTTGTAGTTCCTTCCGCTTTCAAAGACAGCAAGTGTGAACGCCGCTGAACTACCACTCCCAGGAGGCTCTGCGAAGGAGGAGCGCGTTCTCTCAGTTACCATGGCAACAGCGTCTGTCCACGGGGATGGCTTTGATAGGACTTTTATTTCTTTCTGGCGCCTGGTGATGACTCAATGTTCCTTGATTGGCTCTGCATCGGAGGCGGACGTTTAGGGGGACGAGAATTCTGCAAGCCGGACACGTGGTAGCGAACTGTGGAGATTTGAGTGTTCTGAAGGCCAGAAGAGTTGGGATATTTTTGGGGGTAAGCGTCCCCTCTCCCTCCTGGTGTGTGATTGCTAGGGATTAATGAGTCTGGTCGGGCCCAGACGCTTTCTGATTCTGTTGCAGTAATGGTAACTACTCCCGCCATCTCTCTTCTTCCTTTTCCTGGGTCACCAGGTAGAACTAGGCTTCTCTGAATTCAATTTCTCACTAATCGTGTGAACGTGCTGACATCTCTGAGAGCAGAGGGACTCCTTTTGACCGCCTCAGGGTCAAGCTCCCCGACGCAAAGTTTTTCTCCATAACCCAGGGTATTTAGGAGCGTGAGGTGTTCTCGAATCTGAGCTAGGTGCTTGGCAAGGCCTGRGCCCCTGGAGGAGACCTGTGGGACCAAGATAAGTACAACCTTCTTGGCTGAGCCTAGATGTTGTAGGGGACGGTCCACTTAGTGATAAGTGTAAGCTTGTTAGGCAGAGATTTAGAGCAGGAGCTTGGGATCCAGCTACTTGTGGGTTGTATGACCTCAGGCAACTTAATAACTCTCAGACATAACGTTTTCTCGCTGGCAGATGGGGACGATAATACCTAAACCCTTGGAATGTTGTAGTGATTAAAAATCAATGTGTGAAAAGCATTCTGCCAGGAAATGTAAACAAAAGTTCACTTGAAATTGCTGAAAATGACGTCAGGAAAGCAGTGCCTTCCGATTTTCCCGCTCTCCCACAACCTGCCCTTTAACTTTAACGCCCAACAGAAAGGGATGGTTGAATAAATTGTGTTGCATTGAACTATGCAATATCGCGAAGAATTTCTTTTAAAAGAGTTAGTTAGCTCCATCTTTCTTTTTTTTGGTGGTGGTGGGGAGATGATCCGTTGTGTATTCCTGAGAGCAAAGCAAATTGCAGAGAAGTGCATATAGTATAGTATGTTTCTATTTTTGTAATAGCAGATCCCCTCCCATATACAAGTATATCTAAATGTTTGGATGAGTATGGGGAAAGGTTGTAGAGACCGGGAAGTCAGATTAGAGGTAGAGGAGAGAGAAAGGAGAACAACAACAATAATAAGACCAGCAATAGAAAATATGAGTATGAAATTTTATCTTATTATTATAATTAATATGTAAACGTTGCATGTGCTTATGGACAAGATGGAACCTCTAAGCAGCTATCAGCCTATTAGTGTGAGTATAGCCTCTAAAGCTAGACATTCTAATGTCTAGCCCTGTATTTTCTATTTTGATGGGCTTTATTTGGTCTAATGTAAGTAGTAGATCTGCCACTTATCCATGATGACTTTACCAGTCTCATTTTCCCAGTTGGTAAATGCAGACATTAATAGCATCTATTAATGCTTGGTATGAGGATTGATGAAGTTCATATAGAGAACATACATACTAACTACCCAATAGATGTTAGTTGCTACTGTTATTATGCCTTTCAGTGGATGAAATTAGTATAACTCTATTGAACTTCTACCTTACATCTTAATTTGTATTTTGTACTTTTAAAAAATATTTATTTTTTAGTTGTAATTGGACACAATACCTTTATTTTGTTTTATTTTTATGTGATGCTGAGGATCAAACCCAGGGTCTCACACATGCGAGACGAGTGCTTTACTGCCAAGCCACAACCCCAGCCCTGTATTTTCTATTTTGATGGGCTTTATTTGGTCTCTTTTTCTTGGTCTTCATTAGATTAGTCATTTTTTTTTTTTTATCCTCCTTCATCCATCCCCAGCAGGTTTGAAAATTTTGTATTGTCATCAAGTTTGGGGGGAAGAATACCAGGGATTGAATTCAGGGGCACAGGACCATTGAGCCACATCCCCAGCCCTATTTTTTATTTTATTTAAAGACAGAGTCTCACTGAGTTGCTTAGTGCCTGGCTTTTGCTGAGGTTGGCTTTCAACTCACAATCTTCCTATCTTCTCCCGAGCTGCTGGGATTACAGACTTTTACCTGGCACCATCAATTTTTATTGACTAGTTTTAAACTTTTAACACACATGCTTAACAAGTTTGTTAAATTCAGTTTCTTCTTTGCCTACCACATAATGTAAGAATTTTAGAATACTTTCCCTCCAAATAGTCTTCTCATCTTCTGTTACTGTTTTCTAGAATTTTAGCATCTATCATTTCTATTTGATTTTTTTAGTCAGCTCAGTACGCCATATTGCTCAGAAGCCCTTCAGACTTTTTTGTATGTATATATACTTACTGTAGAATCTGTATGGAGGAACTAGGGGAGAGGTAGTTTTGTACTCATAAATGTTTATTGTTTTCCTTCCACATACACACAAAAACTGGCAAATCTTACTGTATGTTAATTGTATCTCAATAAAATTGGCATCAAAAATTGTTTTAAAAAAAAGATGCAATCATCTATGTTTGCTCTATTCCCTTAGCAAAAATTGGAAATCTTTCCGTGACAGTATGTAGAAAATGCATTGAAGAAATAATTTGAAATTACTTCTTTCCTGACACCTGAAAGGTAGGGTAGACTAAGGTGTTAGGACAGCTACAAAGTTACCAGAAGTGCTAGAAGTCTTTGTTGGCTCTTGTAAAGATACAGATCCTTGGATAGCCTGTCATTTGTCCTTATGTTCTGATGGTTCTTCGTTAGGACTTTTCCAGGAACTTCATCTGTATAAGTTAAGCAAAGTAGAAAGTTCAGCACCAGAAATATAAGAGACTCACAACAAGTGAAAGGGGAAAGGATAATAATAAAGGCAAATAAACCTGGTTGATATTTGAAGACCATTGACAAAAAGAAGTGCAACTATAAAAACATTGGCATACATTGAACAGTGAATGAGAAAAGGAAGAGTTTGTTTCACTCTGGACAAAAATCCCATTTTATATTTTTGATTGTTGATTTCTAGTTGAAGTGCATTCTCTGATGCTGTCCTCAGATTTCTTTTTCTTTTTTAGATTTCTTTTTCTTTTTCTCTTTTTTGTTCTTGCATTGCTGAGGATTGAACCCAGGGCCTTGTGCATGCTAGTCAAGCACTCTACTCTAATGTGACCCCAGCTTTGTCACATTTCTTAATGTTCACATTCCTCCTCACAAAATGGAGTCATTTACAATAGCAGTTTATCCATTACAACACTTTTTCTTAAACCCATTCTTCTGCTTTCCCTTGCTAATCTTTTCCTTCAGCAACACGTCAAATTACCATGATTAGGGAGGTACTTTTAAGAAGCCTCAAACAGCAGAATGTGAGTACACAGCATCAAAGTCTACCGCTATAGAAAGAACCACATGTGTTTCTCTCTAGCTGACCTACTGGGTTCAGTATGCCAAGCTAAGAATTTTGAATTTGATCTTTAAAGTTATGGGGGTTAAACTTCTGAGATGCAAGCATTGTATTACATGAGAGCCCATCTCTGCATTAAAGAATTATGGGTGATGTCCACTAGAGCTGCCAAGGACCTGTAATGACAGACTGTGGGTTAAGAATCAAAGAAGCTATGTCTTCAATTGAGGAAAGAGTGGGAAAGAGAAGTGTGAGAAAATGTCTTCAGGAGTGAGTGGATGATTAATTACCCTTGAGATTCTTCTGTTAAATGATGGAGCCTTCTAGAACATGTTCATTCTTCCTCAGACAAGGAAAGAACTAAAAGGTCCCCAAGAGAAAGGTAAGTCTTGGAAGCTACCAGTCTGGGCTTTCAGGTCTCGTTGTCTCTACACTTTTGGAGAGACCCATGTCCAACCTTAAAGAATCTGATTGGATATATTAAGAGAAACTGGGTTTCCTTTTAGTTGCCATTATGTATGTAGTTGTTACTTATGCTTCTTATTCTGATGCTGTGTGCACACAGTGTTATTTTGGGTTCCCAAATGGCATTCTGTAGGGCAAGAATGTACTGACTGACCCACTTTCCTTTCCAGAGTAAATAATCTGATTTTGTTGTTTAGTCTCGGGTTGGTTTGTTTGAGCCAGTCCCTAAATGACGGATCTGTGCTGTGAGTATAGACAAGATGAGACTCAGAGCTTGCCAGGCAGAAGGTCAGATCCCTGACCAGTGGCCAGCTTACTGAGCAGGGCAAGCCTGTGAGGACTTTGAGGAAACAGCAGGCAGCCATTCTTTGATCATATGTGCCATTCTGTTGGCACAGATCAGAGCTTGAGAGCTACTTTCTCTTTATGACTTTACAGTATATTCTTGGGGTGGAAAGATGTTTCACAGATTTCAAATGCAGTTTTGAAAAATCATCTTTTTCTTTGAGTGGCTATGGTATGGCTGCAGGTTGTCTTTTTTTTTTTTTTTTTTTTAAATCGGACTGCATCTCCTAGCATGTTAGATTTACTCTTACTCAAAAGTCATAATGTGAAGAGCACATACCTCTTATGATTAAGACTTGGGTTCCAGACTAGTTCTCTAAGTAATCTTGCTGAGCCTTAGATTCCTTATCATAAGATGACAGAAGGAATGATGATGGTTATGAGGTGTCCCAGCTTGGGGGTGAAGGTGTGGTAGCAATGATGGAACTCTATTAAATATTTGTTTTGTTTTGTTTTGTTTTGTTTTGTTTTGGTGGTGGTGCTAGGCATTGAACTCAGAGCTTGAACTGAGAGCTTTGTATATTTTAGGCAAGTGCTCTACCACTGAGTTGCACCCTCGCCCTTTTTGTCTTTTGTTTTGAGATAGGGTCTTGTGAAATTGCCCAGGCTAGCCTGGAACTTCCAATCTGCCTGCCTCAGCTTCCCAAGTCATGCCTCCACGCCTGCTGAAATGTATTTCTTCCTTCCTTCCTTCCTTCCTTCCTCCTTTCCTTTCCTTCCTTTTCTTTTTTTGTACCAGGGATTGAATCCAGGGACACTCAACCTATGAACCATATCCCCAGCCCTTTTTTGTATTTTATTTAGAGACAGGGTCTTACTGAGTTGCCTAGGGCCTTGCTATGTTGCTGAGGCTGACCTGTCATCCTGCCTCAGCCTCCTAAGCTGCTGGGATGAAGTGCATTTCACCTGACTTTGTGTTTTCCTCTGCTTGAATTCTCCACAGCTTATTTAGCTTGCAAAATACTGTCTTTAAATTTGCAACAGAATGGCTTCAGGGTTCTGTTAGTTTAAAATATATATACATTAATACATAAGATGAGTATTATCTGATAAGTAAGGAATGTGATTCTGGTACTATGTTTTCTATATTGTGTTCTTATTAGCCTTAATTATATTTTTATAATTCTGGGGGATAAATTTTCCTTATCAGATTTAATGTATATCAATTTTTTGTGGGCTGGGGTGTATAATAGCCTTTTCCAGGCATGGTGGCACACACCTGTAATCTTGGCTACTGGGGAGGAGCAAGTTTGAGGCCAGCCTCAGCAACTTAGTGAAACCCTCTCTCAAAATGAAATCTAAAAAGGGCTGATGATGTAGCTTAGTGGTAGAATGCTCAGGGCTCAATTCCCTGGTCCCACAAAAACTAAACAAAACAAAAGCAAAAAACAAACTATTCTCTTATTAAAACTTTTTGTTTCTTTTTAGTTGCAGATGGACACCATATCTTTATTTATTTATTTTTATGTGGTACTGAGGATTGAACCCAGTGCCTCATGCATGCAAGGCAAGTGCTCTACCATTGAGCTACAACCCCAGCCCTTAACTTTTTCTTTTTAACAGTCTCCATTTCTGTGGGCTCCAATAATAGTAATTTTTATGTCTTTACTTTTGTGGTAACTTGAAATAATGATGTTACAGTCAGAAAATCAACCAGACTTTCCTCAAATATCTTATGTTTAACATGACATTTCTTTTTGGATCATACAGAAAGTAATTTTTCTCATGTCTAATAGCTTAATCTTGATAGTTATTGTCATATTTAAATTTTARGAATTTGCCTCCTAAAAAAGTAATGTTTCCTTAATAATAAGTAATGCTTGTTTGTTTTATAGCATCTTAAATAATGGGTGACATCCAGAACAATTTTTTAAGAGTACAGGATCTGAGGTTGGAGTTTCTAGATAGCTGTAATAATTTGTCTACTAATAAAACTTGACCTAGTCTAGTTGGAAAGAATTCTAGAGGGTACAGTAAGATTATGGTATTTGGCTGTAGTGATGTACTAAAGCATTTGTAAAATGTTGATATGTCCAATGACATTTTGCAAATGATCCACCACACCTGCTTATCCAATTCTGAAGTGCATTTTAAAAGTAGAACCCAGGAGCTGGGGATGTGGCTCAAGCAGTAGTGCGCTGGCCTGGCATGCGCGGGGTGCTGGGTTCGATCCTCAGCCCCACATAAAAATAAAATAAAGATGTTGTGTCCACCAAAAACTAAAAAATAAATATTGAAAAATTCTCTGTCTTTCTCTCTCTTAAAAAAAAAAAAAAAAAAGTAGAACCCAGGATTTTACCACAACAAATACTAATTGTTTAGCAATTTCCAGTAAATAATTGGTGTTCTTTTCTTTTCTTTCTCCGTTATATCTATAGAAATTAGATATCTATGTTTTTCTTTCCCAGTCACAAACGGAATGAAAAATTGCTTATGAAATACATATATACTCCATGTATTTTCTCACCTGTGTTTTGATACTATCTGAAAACAAATTGGAATATAATCCCATCTTAGATATARTCTTTGTTGATTTTGGTATACATTCTTTGATGTGTATTCATATCAGAATGCTGTCTTGAAATATGCTTTTGTTACTTAGCAACATTATTAGGGAAAATTGCTATGTTGTTTAGTATTCTCTCAAATTAGAGAAAGGAAAAAATGGTTCATATCAGCAGTCAGTATTGCCTAAGCATTGGGACCCTTCTTTATATACATTTTCAAAGCTAAGAGTGAACCTTGACTTATTGGCATTCTTTTCACGATTATTCTTTTCACTTCCATCCTCCATTTGTTTGGTTTTCATCAACTTTGACTAAAATTCCATGACTAAATTTAAAAGTAGTTGATGTCATTATATTGATCTGGGACCTTGGAGAAGGGATCTGTGACACTCTGTGTCTTTTTTCATTCTTCTATTCCTAATATCCCCGCTCCCACCAAAATATCATAGACTAGAAATAATAATATGCTATTTTTCATTTTTATACAGGTTGTTTTCTTTACAAAATGCATAGCCTTTAGATGTTGCCAAGCTTCTGAATTTAATGCTTTTTTTCTTACAGGAAGTGGACTAATCCTTAAGGATGAAGCTGAATCTTACCAAGGTAGTTAATGGCTGTCGCTTGGGAAAAATACAAAACTTAGGCAAAACAGGGGACCACATCATAGACATTCCAGGCTGCCTTTTGTACACCAAGACTGGCTCTGCCCCACACCTGACTCATCAAACACTGCATAATATCCATGGGATTCCTGCAATGGCTCAGCTTACACTGTCATCCCTGTAAGTATTGGACCCCATCATTCAAGAATTGACTCTGGCAGCAGTTTAGTTACCTTAGTTAGGTGTAAGAAAGAGAAAAATGTCTTCTACTCATATGTATTTATAGATTTTCATATTAAAATCAGAAGAGAGGTATCAGTATACATCATTTGGCTCAGACCTAGAACCGCAGATGAATCCTGAGTATTAGTGCTGTGCTGCTTTTTCTACAAACTTGCAATCCTTCTCTGCCCTCACTGCTACTGCTTCTTGTAGGAATGGGGCAAGAAATGCTCTCTAAGAGCTAAACTTGGAATTCAGGGGCTGTCATCATGCACCAGCCTCATAGTTATTCTGCTTCAATAATTTTTCTGCCTTAGCACTTGAACTTGCTAGTACTACTTTATGAAAATGGAACTGCTGGAGTTAAATGACTTGTGTAATATATAAACCAACTTTGTACTTATTTGAAGAGCCTACTGTATGATCAACTTATTCTGTAGTATTGTGATATCAGTTGTGACTTTGAAGGGGCAAGAGAAACAAGAAAATCCAAATATTCTGAAGCAGCTGATCTGTGCCAATTTCTCTTCCCCCAGAACCATTTACAAATTTAAGGCTTTGATTTTGAGTAATGAACTTAGTCTAGTTAGTAAGGTCTCTTGAATAATGAAGTACATTGTTGTACAAGACTGCATTTAAGACTACGTAGCTTATTTGAGTGAGAAGAAGAAGGCTTCAGTTGTTATGCAGTATCCATAGAATGATTCATTATTATGTATTTTTCTGTTTTATTTACAGGGCAGAACATCATGAAGTTTTGGCAGAATATAAGAAAGGAGTTGGAAACTTTATAGGTAAAAATTAAATTATTTGTGTCTTAAATGAATTTGGAGTTTGGAGATGCTATTGACTTATTGATAGTTTATTCATGCATTTATTTATTCATTATTCTAATAGAAATCTTTTGGACCAAGAATCAGCCATTGGGTATTCACAGTTGTTTAGGAAACAGTTGTTGCTCTCATGGAACTCAGATCCTAGCTGAGATAAACAGGTAATTCTAGTAAGAATATAGTGACTGCTTTGTAGGATTAGGAATATGTATGTATATCATGATAGCCCCAGAGGGAGGAGCACATACCTGCTCTGAGGATATGTGGAATGTGATCAGAATAAAGAAAGAATTCTTGAGAGAGTAGATAAGGGGGCATCTTAGATGGCTCAAAGGAGAGCATTTATTAGCCAGGTCAGTAGTGGGAATGCAGTGGTGGAAGACAGTTACAAGGCAGGTACAGGCACTGAGCAAAGGACAGAGGGGACATACACAAGATCCAAAGCATACTCAAGATCCCTTGAGCCACACTCATAAAATGGCAGATGAAGACTTTATATACAGCTATATTCTGGTATATTGATATTATCTTCTGTTCCAAAAGTAGGATTTTTTTGGTACAGATTTATGTATTCATTTATTTAGAAGAAAAGCTTAATGGTGACAGGTACAGAACCAGTTCTTCTGTGGACCACTTTTTTCTGAAGATGTTCCCCAATACCTGGGACTCACTTAAGTGAAGACAGATCCTGTTTCCATTGGTTAGTGAGTCTTCTGCTTCTGTTGGTTCATCAGAGGAGTTGATGTGGCATCATTCTCCTAGATCTGAGGCCAGGTGTAGTCTCCAGTTTTAAAGTGTACAGGCATGTAATTAAGTCAAAATAGCTATTGTAAGCTTTCTAGAAATAATCATAATAATTGAAATTGTGGAAAATTGAGGTGAACTGCAGAAGTTTGTAACTCACTTTGTTTATCTCTTTTTGAATGGAATCCTCCCCCSCTTTTTTACGGGAAATTTGGGTAGTATATGAAATTTAACTACTAATGGTTTACTAATTGGTGTTTTAGATTTTTTTTTTAAAGTGGCTGTCTTTTAGACTAAAGAACCTAAGAAGCTGTCATCTTGAGTCAATAAAACAAAACATACTGAGAATGAGATCCATTTGTAGTATCCCACAGCATCACTATAATTCTGTCCCTAGGGACCCATGATTATTATTAATGAGATTTGTGGTTAATGAGATTTCCTTTTGATTATATCTCTTTATCTTTCTAGTACCAGTTCCTTTTGGATGGTTCCTAGAATGAGCATACTTAATGTTAAATTCTTTAAAGGAAATTGATCAACATGTCACTAAAAACTTTTCATTGTATCTCATACTCTGAGATACACCTTTTCTTTGTAGCAGCTCACTACATCATTAGACATGAATCATTACATTCCATTCTTTTAGATGAGTAAGTTTCAAAGTAATCTTTTTGCTTATGCTGATAGGCCACTTGTAATTCCAAGATAGGTACCAACTGTTTACTGTGGTTAGAGCTGATATATCCACCAATACATATGTGAAGCTGTTCCCTGTTACAGTAGTGTTATTGTTGACATAAGCACTCTCGGTGGTTCTTCTTTGTGTTTATACAGGCATGCCAGAATCACTCTTATACTGCTCCCTGCAGGATCCAGTCAGCCCCTGTCCAGCTGGTTATGTAACAAATAAGGTGTGTTCTCAGAAGGGCCTCCAAGGCTGCAGCTTTGTTCCAGGAAGTCAGCCTGTTATGTCTCCTCAGAAGTGAGATTCTCTCTGTCTGGGTTGAATTCCTTTATATCTTCTGTTTATTGTGATGATTTTAATGGAATTGGGCTGAAATATAAGAAAGAATATGGCTGCGTAAGGATGAGTTAAGGGGAGGAATATATCCTCAGCATTTTTTGTTACAAAAAAGTGGGGTGTGGAGGAGGGTCAAGCACGTGCCCAAAAAAGAAGTTGCTATGATGGGAGGAGATAATTGTCTTTTGATGCCATGCTGTATTTGCAGTTTTAATAACTCCAGGGAGAGTGGGGAAGTTGCTGGTGAGTGTTATCACATGTGTAACTATATATAGTAGAACCTCAGTGTAATACTGCTTGCTGCTAGAACAGAATTTGAAAAAGCTGGGTCCACAGCCTGAGATCTTAGTTAGAGAAGAGTGGTATCAAAAGGACTTCCTTAAAAGTTTTAATCTAGAGGTGTCCCCTTTGGCAGGATCTCTGAGGACAGTGTTCGGGTGAGGCCTCAGCAGGTACAACTGCTTTACGAATGAAATCACTTTCCCTGCACTCACTTTGTTGATCTCAACAATGTTGATTTATCTAAGAATACTATTTTCAGTTATTCTCCTATTTTAAGCTTTATTTAAATTTTATAATTTGAATTCAAAAGGCAATATTTGACCTCAATTATCTTCCCTATTTAACAGGGGAAGACTTCATTTAAACAGTATTCTTATGCCTTTGGTACATACTGGAAAGACCATTTGTGGCTTCTCCATCTGTGTCCGTGGTGATCTCATCTAAGAACAGATCCTGTAGGGGAAAGATTAAACAAAGATGGAATATGATACAGTGATTCTCATGAACTAAAGGGTTGATGTCTTTGCATGTAATTCTGTATCTACCTGAACCTAGTAAACACTTACTAAATGTTAACATGTAGGGCTCCAGAATATGCTTTTGGGATATAGGTATAAAGTGAAATATTCTAGACAGACAAATATAAAATGGTATAATAAGTGGGTTTTTTTCTGTAAAAGAAAGAAATACAAATTTCTGTAAGAGCTTAGAGGATTAAATAATTCATTACACCCAGGAACAGTTGGGGGAACATGTTAGATGATATTTAAATTCAGTTCTTTGAAGGACACATAGTATTTTTCCAGGCAAAGAAGTAGAAGGACATGTCAGTCAAAAGGAATAGTGCCATCAAAAGCGAAGAACCAAAGTCTGTGGTTTGTTCAGGAATAGCAAGRGTGAGGTTGGGGTGGGAGAGATGTGATTGGGGACAATGGAAGATTGTGTTAGAAAAGTGTGACTGAGGACTCCTTGGGGGGCCTAACTCAAAAGTTGGCTTGCATTACCATTGAAGGATTCTTTATGAACTGTCAGATCTCTAGAGCATTTGAAATTTGGAAATTTGCTTTTTCTCTCCATGAGACAGATTTTTACCCACCATGTCTAGATCTTAAATTGATACCATTTCTCCGGTTGTAAAGAATTAATGCTTTATTACTTTATTGCTTTCTCTCTTTTTTGTATCCTACTCTTGCTAATTCTTCTTTGTCTTGCTTTATGGCAGTCTGTGTCTGTGTGGGGTATTGGAGGACGAGTAGAAATGACTGTATCCAAGTTCATGGCAATTCAGCAAGCCCTTCAGCCAGACTGGTTCCAGTGCCTCTCAGATGGAGAAGCATCTTGTGAGGAAACAACTTCCACAAAGAGGGCCAGAAAGTCTGTGGACCGATCCCTCCTATTCCTAGATAGCTGCCTGCGGCTACAGGAAAAGTCAGAGGTATGCTGCACCACCACCCCTCTTTTCTCTTGAAACTCCTTCCACTCTGTTATACCTCCTTTTCTGTTTCTCCTTCTACTTCTCTGCTTCTTGGTCTGTTTCACTTGTTTTTATTTTTCTTCCTTGAACTCCGAGAACTAATATTTTCTAGGATTCTATCTTAGGCTCTGTTTTCATCACATTATATGTGTCATATCCAAGCTTTGTTTTAATTGTTGAATAATTCTAAAAATTATATGTACTGTCAAGATTTGTCCATATAACTTCAGTTACATAACTACTGGCCATAGCTTGGTTGTATTACTCAAACTAGTTGCTATTCATCAAACTCAGAGGGAATCAGACTTCTTGTCTTACTTCTTCAAACCTGTTCTTTCTTTCACTCTTCCTTAATACTTTATCTCAGTTCAAGTTCCTTAGTCCAGAAACTTGAGATTTTCAAGATTATTTTGATTGATTGATTGAGTATTGAGCCCAAGGGCACTTTACCATTGAGCCATATCCCCAGCACTTTTTTATTTTTTTATTTTGAGACAGGGTCTTKCTAAGTTGCTTTGAGCCTGCCTAAGTTGCCAAGGCTGGCCTCAAACTTGCAATACTCCTGCCTTAGCCTCCCAAGCTTCTGGGATTACAGGCATGCTCCACTACCCCTGGATTAAGAATCTTTTTCTGTGTGCATATTTAATATCCATTTATTCACTCTCCCTTGATTCTATCTCCCTAATATGTCTAGAATCTGCCTCTTCCTTCCCACCCTTCATATCACCACCTTAAGCTATGACTTCATCATCTCTTATATAGTTACCTTTGAATTATTCTTTCTGTCTCTATTGTCTTTTTTATTTAATCCATCTTCAGCCCTGCTTTCTAAGAGACCTTTGTAATGCCCAGGTACAAGCCCATTGCCTACTTTCCTAAAAGAATTTAATGACTCTCCACTTCAACTCTTACATGGCATGTACACCTGTGACCTGGCCTTCACCTACTTTTCGGCTCATTGTGGTCTTTTCTCCTGTGGCCTGCACTCTGACCTTCCTGAATTATTTACAATTCTTTATGGCATTTGCCTGTTTTATTCTTGGGCCACCTGYATACAGACTTTGTATACAGACTTTCTTCTGGACTATATCTTTTATTTTTTAATCTCCAGCCATAATCCCATACTTGCTCCCATTGGCTTACTTCATTTCATTCACCATTTTATGAAACTGGTTCCTGATTTTTTCCAGAAGGTGCTATTCATCCTTTGATATCCCTTTAATTTGTAGTTGTATTATAACCCCAGTTATATTCCAGTGATTTCTTATGCATTTACCTTTATTAAATTGTGGCCTCTTTAAGCTCAATTTCTATGTCGTTTTTGTATTTTCATCATGTAGCAGAAGACCGGCACATGGTAAACCTCAGTAAATGTTTGCTGATGGTGAATGATTATGATGGTGAGGAAGATGAAACTGTAGCAGTATATAAGGGAGCCCAAGAGCAAATTTGGTGAAGTTGGCAGAGGATGCATTTATTAGGAGAGCAGAGGAGGTGAGGGAACAAAAGATAGTGATCAGACAAGAGACTTCCAATATTTAAGATAATTTATGTGGAGTAAATTTATATATATATATATAAAATCAGGTCTAATCAGGTATAAGCTCATTTTGAGGAACATGGTTATTTTGATGCTAGCAATAAAAATATAATTTGGCTAATAAGCTTAATGTACATGAAATATTAGAGGAAACTTAGTGGTCATTCTAAATAAAACTCATATTATCTTCAGTAGGAGTCCAACATAGGGACATTGCTATAGGTCTGGGTAGATAATGTTGGCTTGATAGCATTTATTTTGAATTAGTAATTATCTTTGTTGGACTAGTAACATTTGGATAAATAGAAAGCAGCAGGACAGTGCTGGGTATGGTGGTACATGCCTATAATCTCAGTGACTCTGAGACAGGAGGATTGCAAGTTCAAGGCTAGCCTGGGCAACTTATCAGGACACTGTCACAAAATAAAAAATAAAAAGGGCTGGAGATGTAGCTTAGTGGTAGATGGCCCCTGGGTTCAGTCCCCAGTTCTGAAAGAAAGCAGGCAAGTAAACAAGCAAGCAAGCAGGACAGGGAGTATGATAGGGAGTATAGTTCTTAGAAAGGCCAGATGTGCCTCAGGTTCCTCATTTTTATTATTGCAAGCAGCCTTATCATTTCACATTACTTCCATGCATTCCATTTTAGACAGTAAATTATATGACCATACTTCTTCACATGGTTGTACTAGTCATGTGAGGGGGCAGTCCTGTGTAATTACATGTTTTGTGTATTTGCATGCATCTTTTTCTATTTCTGTGATGTCTTCCCCATCTTATTCACTGGATCCTTTTATTCTGCATGTTCAATATTGAAGCTCCCCAAATCTGTTTTTAGCTTGCTTTTTTTTTTTTTAAAGAGAGAGAGAGAGAATTTTTTTAATATTTATTTTTTAGTTTTCGGCAGACATAACATCTTTGTATGTGGTGCTGAGGATCGAACCCGGGTCACATGCATGCCAGGCGAGCACGCTACCGCTTGAGCCATATCCCCAGCCCAAGCTTGCTTTTTTCTCCATACATTCCCTAGGTCAGGAATGGCAAATGGGTTTCATTCATGGAGCTACCGCTTGAGCCATATCCCCAGCCCAAGCTTGCTTTTTTCTCCATACATTCCCTAGGTCAGGAATGGCAAATGGGTTTCATTCATGGAGCTTACCACCTTGCCCAGTGCCATAGGAAGAGTTATCTGTTAGCCCTGTCTGCCACAGAAACAGGAGAGGAAAGTGATGTCAGTCAAATGCCTAACATTCTAGTCTGGATGACCTAACTTGTGTCAGATATATTCATATAACTTAAACTTCATATATTCAGTGGTTGAATTGAAATTGCTGTTTGCACATCCCATTAATACCTCAGATTTAGAGTGCACAAAGCAGAATAATCATTGTGCCTCAGCCTCCACTATTTTTCTAAGATTATTCCCTGTCTTTGCTTTTAGCACCATCTCCCTGAATTTCCAAAATAGGAGCCAGTAGTCTTTCTAGAATTCATCTTCATCCTCTACTAAGAAAAATAATTCACCAGGTTGTATTGATCCTACCTCCTGATGCAGTTTCAAATTTTATTTGTACTCTTTCTTCCTCTGCCTGGGCCTTAGTCCAGATCATCTTGTGTTTCACTTAGGTTAGTTAAATTGTCTCCTACGCGTTCCTTAGCCATACTCATCTTTATTTTTCACACAGCAGCCAAAATAGTCTGATTCTTTCCCTTCTGCTTAAATGAAGGGGTGAAATTCCTTCTTTACAGTGTTTCAGACTTCCTCCCCATCCTTTTCTTTTATCAGAGAGCCAGTATTGATTTGTGTATGTCCTTGCAAGGCTTACTTTTGGAGTTGTATACATGTAATGAACATTAGAATCAGGTGCAGTGGCACATGCCTGTAATCCCAGTGAATCAGGAGGCTGAGCAGGAGGATCACAAGTCAAGGCCAGCTTCAGCAACTTAGTAAGGCCCTAAGCAACTTAGTGAGACCCTGTCTTAAAATAAAAAATAGAAAGTGGCTCAGTGGTAAAAAGACTCTGGGTCTAATCAGCAGTACCAAAAACAAACCAACCAATCAACTAGCATAGATATGCATGCCTGTATTATGGGCATATGATTACATGTTCAACAATTTATTTGGTTTTGGTTAACAAAGTTCTAAAACTCCTGTCCATGCACTTAATTAGTATATCTACTTCATTCTTTTTAAAATAACTCTAGGAAGCCATGTTATGAATATGTCATAGTTTATGCTTTTGCTCTGCTGATGAATGTTTAGGTTGTTTCCAGTTTTTCATTATTCTAAATATCTTTGTAAATATGTCTTGATGCATATGAATGAATGTATTTATAGGACAGATCATTAGAAGTGGAATTTTAGAATCCAAAGATATTGATATTTTAATAGGTGTTATCTACTTGCCCTCCTAAAAAGCTGAACTAATTTTTACTGTTTTTTGGTGAAAGTCTAAGGGAAATGAGATGGTGTTTATATGCCATTTCCCTTACACTTTTTCCTCCATTCTGTTATTTGTGTTAACTTTTTTGTTATTGTAATTGGCAAAAATGGCATCTTATTGTTTCCGCTTTGCATTTCCTTGCTGGTGAAGCTTAGTAGCTTTCCATATGCATATGTTTACTTTTGTTTTAATCAAAGTTAGGACATGCTGATTCCTGTTGATTGCCCCTGTTTCCTCAGTCTTTTCTTACCTAGTTTGTGTTTTGCACAGAGTGTTTCTGGAGATTGTTGGGGAGCATCACCTTCCTTTGATGTTTCATCTGCAGTAATTTTGTTGTGATCTCTTCTGTCCATTGGACCATGTAAGGTTCATGTAAAAAAGTGTCTTACTGAAAATGGTTAAGAGCATCAATCCTTTCCTTACCTCAGATCCTTCAGAAAAGTATCATCATTGGAGTGATTGAAGGTGGAGACGTGATGGAGGAGAGGTTGAGGTCAGCACGAGAGACAGCCAAGCGGCCTGTCGGAGGCTTCCTTCTGGATGGCTTCTATGGGAATCCAGCAACCCTGGAGACTAGACTGCACTTGCTGTCGTCTGTCACTGCAGAGCTCCCGGAGGACAAACCGAGGCTAGTGTTCAGTTGARATGCGGGCCAACCTCAAGGGATACAAGAAAGGAGTGCTGGCCAGTTGTGTATGATACAGTCTGTGTATGAGCATGCCTTCTGATGTTTTGATTATGTCCTTTCTGTCCTTTTCTCAGCAGACTGTGAGGGAAGTTTTCATCAAGCTTAGCCTGCCCTGATTTCAGAATGTAGAACAGAGGATGATTGCCATGTGAATTACTGTATTGATCCCCATAAGTGAGGGCAAGTGTTATACTGTTTCCTCACATTCTTGTGCCAAGTATAAATATTGTTTTTGTTCATTCTAACTTGTTACTTAAGGACAGGTGTAGAGTCATGTGGAATTCTGGTTTAAATCAAGGAAAGTTGAGGACAGATCTTGGATGCCTAATACATTGAGGCTCTACTAATAAGAAGTTTTAGATTTGAGATAGGTAGTGAGTAGTGTCATTTTTTGAAGTTCAGGGAATTGGCAACATAAGTGGGATTGGTTCTCATGTTTCCATACTTGCAGGATTTGCTATGTACTCATGAGCAGAGATGATCTGCAAGATTCAAAGCTACAAATTGGAAGTTTCTGAAAGCAGCTCATGTCACCTTAGACTTCCTAAATTTTAGCTCTTTCTTTCTTAAAAGAGGAAAACAAACAAAACACCAGGTAAACCTGGAGGTCATTATGTTAAGTGAAATAACCAAAGCGCAGAAAGACCAGTGCTGCACAATTTCACTCATATGTGGAACCTAAAAAAAGTTATGTCACAATATAGAGTACAATAGTGTTTATAAGTGACTTGGGTRGGTGGGTTAGGAGGATGTTGGTCAAAGGATATATAATTGCACAGGAAGGATAAGTTTAAGGGATGTGTTGTACCTTCTGGTGACCATGTTAATGATGATAAATTGTATTCTTGAAAAAGTCAATGTGAATGGATGTTAAGTGTTCTCACCATAAAAGTGATAATTAGATGAGATAATGCATTCATTAATTAGCTAGATTTAACCATTTCTTATATATATATATATATATATATATATATATATATATATATACACACACACACACACACACACATACACACACTTCAAAACATGTTGTATATGACAAATACATACAATTTTATCTGTCAGTTAAAAAAAAAGACTTTGTAGTCTTTTATTTCACTTGGTGTGAATGAATAATCATGCTTTTTTGCCTACATATATATATATATATATATATATATATATATATATATAAAGTTTGATTATGGGGTGCTGCCTGGTATTCCTTGAGGGCTATTGAATAGTATATAGAATATGTCATTTTGTTACTTTTTTTAAAATTCAGGTATAATATGCAATAAAATGCACAAATGATTGGATACAGGTCAATGAATTTTTGCACATTTGTATAAAGACCATGCAGAAAAGGGTTTTCCCATCCAGCTTTTGCCCCAGTGTTTATCTTCATCCTCTTGCATTCATTGCACTCCCTGTCCTTGTTTCATTCTGGTTCAGATAACAACTCAGCACTAGTATTCCTAGTCATTTTCTGGACTTTTTTGTGTTAAGTGCTCACAGATGTCTGTTACTGAATTTGAAAGCTGGGATTGTTTTTCTTTCTATCAGCATGTAGAAATGCCAGCTTCAGTTGGAGAGGAGTTCTAAAACACTACATTATTTGAAGGAAACTGTAGTCAGGAAAACTGGCATATATTTAAGGTTTCTGCTTGTTTAATATTACATAAGCCTTTTTTTGAACTTCTTTTAGAAATCAGAGAATATGTAAGCTCTTCTCTTCCAGTTCATGAAAAAGGGGCTATCAGTAGAAAAACAAACATGAAAAATAGTTTCAATCAGCCAGCCTGATCAAATGCATCTCTACCATTTTGTTTTAGTGGCAAAACCTGCCTGAAAATTATTAATACTCTCTGAATGCCTTATCTAGTCCCTCAGAAAACACCATTTCATTCTACGGTGCAGAYTTTCTGTTGACAGAGAAAATATAAAGAAAACCAACTAGATTCTTAGATCTTGTGGCCAGAGTTCAAATTCTAAGAGCAAGAGTCGCTGTATAAATGAAGCTATCCTGAATATGGTAGATAAAATATCTTTACTGAACCAATTTTGAAAAATAATTATAAGAAAAATTCAGTTAATAATTTGAAGGAGAAAGAAAGCATATGGCTTTGCACTCTTTAAAAAAAAAAATCTCTATAGTATATATATGAGCTATAAAGTTCACCCAAGACCAGGGAGGCTGTTCAGAAAGGATGAGAAGGGAAAGAAAAACCAACCATTATTGAGTTTCTGTAGAGTCAGGAACTATACTGTATGCTTTTCCAAATATCTTATTAATCCTCACAGTGATTTTGTGGAGAAATATATTATTGCTCTTAACTCAGGGATGTTAAAAACCTGCCCAAAATAACACAGCAGTTAAATAAGCGGTAGAGCTGGGCTGTAAGCTCATCTCTCTCTTCTTTCAAAGCCCTAAGCTCTTTCTACCACATGTTGCTATCTGCTGCCAGCCACTCCAACCCTTATTGCTGTCTTTTGTTATTATTGCTTTTAATGCCCTGTTCATCAGAAAGATCTTGATGTCATTCCAGGCATTGTCCTCATGTCACTGTTCTTATTGTCATTTTCACAGGCTCATTTGTGGTATTAGTCGGCCAGATGAAGTGCTCGAGTGTATCGAAAGAGGAGTGGACTTATTTGAGAGTTTTTTCCCTTATCTAGTGACAGAGCGAGGATGTGCCCTGGCTTTCAGCTTTGACTACCAGCCGAATCCTGAAGAGACATGTAGGTCTTCTGAAGTTCATCTCTGTCTTAAGGAAGTTTCTTCTATTTCCTATTGATTTTTGGCCTGAGTCACAAGTCAGAAATATGTACATGTCAAGCCAGTCTTTTATAAAACGCCGTCTTTGTGTGTTATCTGTATGCCCTGGCATTTTGGCATACAAAACTAGGTACTTAAAACTATACATGTAACTCTTCAATATTGGGTTATTGATATTGTAGTGAGTAAAAACAAGACCTTTTCTGTTAAGCTGAAAAAAGAACATTCAGAGTAAATTGTGATAAAAATCTAAGAAAATTTTGAAAACCTTTGAACTACGTGGTAAAAGTTAATTTGTCCCTGCCCCCGCCCCCACAAAAGAGTTCTTTGCTTTTTGCAAGTCCCATTTTTGTAAACCTAAACCCCATGCAATTAAATTACAGGGAGCCTTACCATCATCTGATCCTGGTGTTGCATTTAGCTTTTTGGAGTTTTTTTACACACTGAGATGAGAAAGCTGTTTTCCTCTGTTAATATTGCTTTGAAGCACTGCCATTTTTCTTTTATTGTTTAGTTATTCAGAAGTCAAGGCAAGCAGTTTTAGATTCTAACACTCACTTGGCAGTGGAAAAGGAACCGGACACAGCCTGTGGCTGGGGGTCTCTTGAAGCAGTTGTGCTGGAGACTATTGTCTGCCCCATCCCCCTCTGGCTTTGGAGATGGTCTTTCCTTTTCATTTTCCTTTTTCTGCTTTCCTCTGAACTCTTCCTTGACTACAGCCAACCTTAACTTTGAGTAGGACCCCAGAATTCTTTAAATGTTCCCTTTATTTCCTACAAGTGATTAAATTTCATTCAGAACATGTCACACTTTTATAAAGCAACTTCGATATTAATCTAAATCAGATTACTTCTAGATACAAAATAAATTAGGTTGATCAAGTTCTTATATATAGGAGGTCAATTTTACTATTCTTTTAGACAGACCAGAGCATGATATATGTGAATAGGCATACCATTAACACTTTATACATTTTCATGACTTCATTTACAAACTAAATTACTTCCACCAGGACAGAGATAACTTAGTCTTCTAGTACCATGAATATATGCAAAGCTCTACGAAGAGGCTGACACTGAGTTCTGTGTCTCCGGAAGGAGCAAGTTCCTTTTTGGCTAGAGAAAGCCACATTCCTTCATGATTAGGAAAACTGAAATAGTTTTATTAATCATATTTGTGTGTAGTGTTTGTGTAAGTATGTTGTACATTAAAGTTTTTGCCAATTAATATTGTATAATCTACTTGAAATATAGACCACTACAAAGCCCTGTTTTTATTTGCGTGTACACTTGAGATGAGGCTAAGGAATAACCCCAGCACATACATACACATTAAGTGTTAGTTAAAATCATTCTTTGATAGTAGGGTTATATGTTACATACCTAAAACCGTAGTTTGCTTAGACATTATTGAATATCTCAAATTGTTTTGATACGGTAGATAATAGGTCAGTAATCATCTGGGAGTATACTACTATTTTTCTTTCTTGTGTGATTTCCTTAGGATAAATTTCAAGAGTGGAATTATAGGGTCAAAGGGCATGAAATAATAACTAAAATTCTTCCAATGGCTACTCTATCTGATCTTCATTCAAGACTTTCTGTTGGTTTGTCCTTCAGTATTACAACAGAATGGGACACAAGAAGAAATCAAATCTGTGGATCAAATAGAGAAAATTAAAACAACTGATTGCAACCAAGAAATGACATCATTTGAAATTAATCTGAAGGAAAAAAGGTAAAAATTTTTTGAAGTTTGAATTTTGATTTCTAACTTTAATTTTCGTCTGTTTTAAAAGTTTATGTAACTGTTCCTTTTTCAGTTTATGACTTCATAAAATATTTATAGTTGGATATTACTTAGGCCTTCTCAAATTTGGTTCCAGAAAAACTTTTTTCTGCAGATGAATTTGTGTACTTTATCTTGTCAAAAAATTGAGGCTAGATAACAATTGCTTTAGAAAAGCTGTCAAAAGATTAGACCAAATCCATTTGTTTGGTGTCTTTTATTCCTTCCAAGTACTTTAAATAATGATGGAGTGAAATTGGATTTCAAGATAAAACAAAGTTTATAACTTGTAAGGAACTCAAGTTGTCTTGGTTATGTGAAGTTATAAATCTTAAATAAAACATTTGCCTCAATAAAGAATGAACTAAGATATACTGTAACTCCACATTTGATCAAAAGTGATAATCCTCAGTACCAGAGAGGGGTGTTTCTGTGAGTTTGGTGCATTCCCTTCAGGATGAGGATTTGTTGGTTTCTGTGAAGGGACATTCTAGGGATTCTGACTTACTTATGTCAGTCTAGTAATAGTAGAGACTTGGGAATTTATGAAAGAACATGAAAATCTTAGTTTCTATTTCTAKTTTGTTGGGACTTCTTGATGTAGGTCTGAAATAGTAAAATCTAACTCATTTAACTTTGTGTAAAATACCCAAGGAGATTAATTTCTGTTTAAAATATTTTTGTATTTTAAAATATAAATGGTTACAGTACTACTAAAATTTCCTTTTTTTTTGTAGATGTAATTGGGAATTATAGTATGCTTATTATCAGTGCTAGACTTGAAGTTTTGGAGACTTGGAGTCAAATTCTAGCACTGCTTTTAAATATAAGACATTGGTCAAGTCACTTAGCTTCTCTTTAATATCTGATAAAAGGTATAGTACTGCATAGTACTTAGTATAGTACTGTATAGTACTTAGTATGCGCCCAGCAGAATTCTATACTATGCTGTATACTATAGTACAGTACTATATAGTACAGTGTATATAGTTCTATACTGTATACTTAGTATACTTAGTACTGTATAGTACTGTATAATACTTAGTATGCGCCTAGCAGAGTTCAAGCCCTTTCAGCTCTCTTAACTCATTTAATCCTCTCAACAACTCAGTGAGGTGGAATACCTTTGGTTCATGGATGAGAAACAAAGGCACAGAAAGATGTTAAGTGACTTTCCCAAGTGAGTTGTAGAGCCAGAATTCACTCTGGTTAGGCCCAGAGTCCTGTAAACCCCATAAAAACAGCTATCTCAAAGAGTAGATGCAGATTAAATAAGACAGTGTGTGTGAAAATGCTTTATAAACTACAACAGCTATGGAAGTAGAAAGTTATGCCATGTTTTTCAATGAGAAGTGTCAGACCAGCATTTCCTAACCTTGTGTGCCTTTTCAGTGCTCAACATGAGTGACCATGTGGATTTTTTAGCCACCAGCCTTGAAGATTGCATCCATTAGAGGAAAACTCTTGAGTCTCCGTGATTCACTGCATTCTTTGTTAACTTTTATCCACATTGCCATCTTATGGAGGTGCCTAGCACTAAACATTTGCCAGGCTTGTTATTAACGATTGGTAACTTTACCAGCAAAACAGATAGTCTAGGTTGTGGCTTTCTTATATTCTTCACTTTCTAGAATGTCACTGTGGCTTCCTTTTGCAGGTATCAAGAGGACTTTAACCCACTCGTAAGAGGGTGTTCCTGTTATTCCTGTAAAAATCACACTCGTGCATACATCCACCATCTACTGGTAACCAATGAGCTGCTGGCTGGGGTCCTGCTAATGACGCACAATTTTGAACACTACTTTGGATTTTTCCAATCCATCCGGGAAGCACTAAAAAGTGACAGACTGGCACAGTTGAAAGAACTCATCCACAGGCAAGCATGTTAAGAATTGGCAATACAAATCTGCCTCTGCACTGAGCTTGTATCACTGTTATAACATGGAAAGAAGAAAAGAAGAATCAGTCATAGCTTGAAGCATTTAAATTTGGAATAAAATCTGTCAAAATAAAGAATGTCTGTCCCAAACTGCCCACATGAGGGTGAAAAGATGTCTTCTAAAGACTTAAATGGCCTAGATTGATCCAAAAGGATTGAACCATCATCTGTAAAATTTCTAGGCCACTTCTATTAGTAGGTAGAGACTCATTTAGTAAAAAACCAGAGGTGAGAAGATACCCTCAAAGAGGAGGATGAGATTCTGGGAACACTGAGATGGAGATGACTGTGCATGAGTAGCATAACCTCTGTGGACACATGACTGTTGACTGAGGTTTTCTTAATTTTGATCCTCATAGTTGGGGAGCTCTTTTGGATACTTTTACCTTCCATGCTGCCGTGGTAATACAGTCACTCCAAAAGGGCTCTTGTAACTTAACCATGTTTGCCTCTGCCCTGGAACATGGGGTTTAACCAATGCTCCTACGAACTTTGGCCCAAGTCATTCTCCTTCATTTGGCCAGTGGGTCTATTTGTCTTCCTAGAACCACTGTTCTTACCCGTAGGATCCAAAAGTGTACCTAGCTGCTTTCGACTGGTCATACAGATCCACTATACTCCACCCCTCATGTTCATCAACATCCTATTCATGAAATGACTATAGTCCTGTCACTTGTGGAGATTCGTTTCTAGTTTGTCCCCTTGGATGAAGCCTGGTGGGCAATTAGAAGATCAGTTTTAGTCCTACTTAGCTGTGTTGCCTAGGAAAACGAGTTAGGCCTCTGTGCCTGTTACCTCATGAATAAACAGGGACAGGCATAGTGGATATGAGCTTCTAAGATTCTTCTAGCTTTAAAATTTGAGGAACAACCAGGCATGGTAGTGTACATCTATCTGTTCATACTTCTTGTTCAATGCCAAGCCCATCTATAATCTTAGCTACTCAGAAGACTGAAAGCAGGAAGATTCCAAGTTAGAGACCAGCATGGGCAACTTAGTAAGACCCTGTTTCAAAATTAAAAGTGAAAAAAAGCTGGGGATACAGTTCAGGGTCAGAACACTTGCATGATGTCCAAGAAAACATTTTTTTTTCCCTTGAGAAACAAAGTTTTAGATTAGAGTACTAAACATACTTTTCATCCTTGCTTATTCATCACTATTGACCTGATTTAAAAAAAAAAAATACAGCAGTACCAGGAGACAGGCAATAGAATAGATATTTAGCTCTAAAATGAAGTTTGCCTATCAATTTTGGAGTTAGCATCAGAATTTGCTGATTTTGGTGAATTAGCATCAGAGATCCTGGGGGGGTCCTTCCTTGATCCTCTCTGATTGTATGATTTTGTTCTTACCAGAAGAGGAGTAATATTTTTGTTGATGATATGACTGGTTATTTTTATCTTATTTTGTGCTTTTCTATATTTGTCAATTTTTATAAGGAATACAAATACACGTATATAGTCATTTTTGTAAAATAACAATAACCAAACCAAAAAGACTTTTTTTGGTAACAAATGCATTGTTTTACCCTCTTATGCTTTTCTGGTTTTTAAATTTTAGTGGGCATTATTGAATGTTGTTTGTAGGTATTATGTGTTTCTTATATTTTTATGTGTTGGGAACCCATCTATATGTTTTCTTTTTAGTGATGTAACTTCTCGGTGAATGGCAAAGGATACTTATGGACAACAGAGTTTCTGTTCTCAAGGATCTAATTCTCTTGGAATTATTGTATTATACTTATTTATATGTTCATATTTCTTGTTCAATGCCAAACCCATTGTTGAAGGATTATCAGTAAATATCCCAGAGTCCATATAAAAGTTATGAGTTTTATTTATGTCCAAAATACTGAAAATTCTGTTCAACATTATTCAGTTTCCTGGGTCTTTTTCTTTTATTAGCACATTTCAAAAAATGTTTCTGACCTTTAATGTAGTAAATCTATTAAAGGCAATATCTAATAAACATTTTTAATTTAAAAAATTCACTGTGTATTGCTTTCTGTAAGTGGTAGTGAGTCTATTAAGACAAAATATTAAATTTCCATGGCACCAGAAATGTTCTAGAGATTTCTCACTGGAAAAATATTTTTTCTCTATTCCATTGCTTTGAGAACTTTCATGCTAAATGCAGAATCCAAAGAGGAACTATTATTAAATGATATGTGTTTTGAAGATTTCCTTATCTCTATATTTATATAATCAGAGGCCATAAGACCATGATAGTACATAATTAAAAAAATAACTATCACAATCTTGGGAGATTTTATTGTACCAAGCAACTTAGTAAATGCATTCCATATGAATCTCACCTTTAAAGCCTCACTGTGAGGTACTGGTATTACTATATTGAGGTTAAAAYTTGAGTTTCAGGATGATGATCTACCAGAAATTTTAGGAAAGTTGAGTAATTTGCCTGAAGGCCTGTTACTACTCAGCTCCCAGTTTAGATTGTAGCTCCATCTGAGTAAAACTCAACAGTTGACCATTGCACTAAATAGATTCTTGTTTTGACTTGCTCCTAGGTTGAAGGGTTAGGGTTAGGGTTAGGATTGAATAGAGAGGAATAATCCAATGAGGAATAGCACATACTAGCAAGTGTAGTCCATGTTACCATGCTGGCACCTATAGATGCTCAGTAGGGGTTGCCATGTCATGTCCCCCTCTCCTCATCCAAGTTTGGGACTAACTGCACCCTAAAGTGTTTGGGGGCTTTCATTAGTTCAAATGATCTCCAGTAATGGAAGTCTGTGATTTCCCATATATCTTGAAGGAGAAATATTTTATTGCTGGGATTCAGGGGAAATATTTTTCTAAAACAATTTTAAGCCAAATTCTTGTATAATTAGAGCATTTTAATAAAAATTTCCAAGACCATCAGAGGGTCAAGGCTGGAGGGTAAAGCAGTTATCTTATCAGGGATGTTTTTTCTGGAGAAGCAGCTTGGAGAAAGCTCACTGAGACACCACAGTTAAATGATTAGCCTGTACCTTTCTGATTAGGAATAGCCTGCTCTCTGCAGTTTGATTAGTCTTGCTTGTAGCTAAGGGCTTACAGCTTATTAAAACTGACAGTGCTGTGTAGGGCAGGAAGCCTGGAAGGTCAAACTTACATGCTGAGCCAGCCCCCAGGAAGGCTTTCCCTTCACCTAAAGGTTTGGTGTAATTGGGATTCGTTTTAATATTCTTTTAAATATCTGCTTGTTTTTCAACCTTCGTGTTGTTCCTCATTTTACACGCTTTCCTTCCTTGTGAGATTCCCAGTTGTGACCCCCAAATCCCAAATAGCAATGAGCAACAACAGTGTAAACAAATTGACAAAGTGATCATATATCCCCATTGCTCAACAACGCTGGTTTATGCCTGTGGCCCAGGTATAATCACTAATGGCGTCCCCACATCCCTTTTCTCTCAAAAGTGCACAGTTTGGACAAGTTATATGGTCACCCTAATGTGAGTGGTAGAGATGATCAAACCAGAGAGCAGGTGTCGCCATCTAAACAGGACAGCTGCTACCCACTTCTAGCTAATTGCTGCTGTGGGTCTGCTACAGTCAAAAACTCCAGCCTTTCCAAGAGAAGCCAAAAATCTGGGTTCTCACAATTTTCAAATGCTGCATCAATTTTTAAAAATACTCTATTAGCCAAACAAACATGGGGGTGCTTAGTTTTTAACTTCTGGCTTAAAATCTGGAGGAAAGGCTTTGTTATCTTTAGCAGTTAAAATTTTCTCAACTGATCACAATATGCAGAAAATATACTGATAATTCCTAGCCCATGTAACTCTACAGATTCTCACATTAAGAGATCTCTATGTTGTCTCATTTCTACTTCATGATCCCCAGGTAACTCCTGGAACCATTCTAACTTTGCCAGAAGGAAGGTATGCTTCATCCTGTTCACTTTCTATTTTATGGATGAGAAATTTTAGGCTTAAAGAAAAAAGGACTAGTAATTAGTTGTGTCCTTCCTCTTTGGGAAGGGTCTTAGTTTGCTTAGGGTGCTATAACAAAATACTGCAGATGGGGTCTTACAAGCAACAAATTTTTTAATTATAGCTCTGGAGTCTGGAAGTCTTAAGATCAGAGTACCAACATGGTTAGGTCCTGATGAGCTTGCAAACTGCCGTGATCTTCGATATCCTCATATGGTAAAAAGAGGGCTGGCTGGAACATTCCTAAAGTTTCTTTTATAATAGAACTAATCCCATCCATGAGGGCTTTACTCTCAAGAACTCAAATTTATTTCAAATCTTATACCTTTTAATATTATGAAATTAGGGGTTAGGATTTCAACATATGAATTTGGGGGTGATGCAATCAGTTAATTCATAACAAGGAGTTGAAACATACACACATTCCTTTTTAGTAATTGTGTTGGTTCTCCTACTTCTCACTCCTATTTTCTGTTGGGCCTATGTTCTTCCAGGGTCAGTATCAAATTCCCAGATTCACTTTCCACTGATCCTCTCTAGTCTCATAAAACCAGCTGGTCCAAGGACAGAGGGCTCCTAATACACCATCCAGCATTCATCCTGGCTGGCACAGCGAGATCTCAATGACTATCAAGTGAATAAATATCCTCAGGGTAGTTGAGGCATTATCTTCAGATTTTAGCCAGCTGAGCACTGGTTGGCAGTGACTTGCACAGCAGTATATGGTAGACCCAGGATGACTGTCTTGTCAGTGGTGGTTTTATCTCACTTTTGCTAGGCAAGCTCCCAGTGACTTGACATGTTATTTATTTATTTTATTTTATTTTTTTCTGTTACTCACTTCCACTTTCCACCATCTTTTAGTGCTGACCTCAAAACAGTTTCTCCTGCTCTAACAAGAGGAACTCAGGGTGATCTTTTCTTTTGTTCGCATTCCTCACAATCCACTCTGAGATCAGGCTGAAGTTGCCAAGGAGTTCAAACAGCCTGTGCTCCCCCCAGTGTGATTCAGAGAGATTAGCCATCCTCTCTGCACTCTCTTCCTAGCGTTAGCCTCTCTCCCTCAACTCTTCTCCCCTGCTGTCCGTGCCTTTGTGTGTGAGACACATTTTCTCTTATTATCACCTAGTTCCCTGCCTGCTCTGGATAGCTTCAGCTTGTCTCTTAACAAAATCAAGATGTTGCTATAATGGTCTCTTTCTTAACAGCTTAGAGTCACTTCCTTTTATTTAGTTCTTTTCTCCTTTCCTCCCAAATCACATAATCATCTCTGCTTCAAATAAAAGTTTTATAGACATTTCGTAACAACTGCTTTATAGTTGCTATCAAAAAAAGCACTAGAGGAAGAGATAAAACAAGGGGAGAGAAACCAGAAGGTGAGGGGTTGAGGGATACCCCAATAATTGAGAAACAGGGTAAGCATCTTCAGGACACTTCTGTGAAGAAATTTAAGAAAGTTTAGCTCTTACAACTGAATGTTGCAAGCTCAGTCGTCTGTGAGGTTTTCCTTTCATTTTTATGGACAGATGGAAAGGTGGTCTCCCCTCTGAGGATCTGTCTTCCTTCCAAATAGTTAAAATCTTGCCTTAGAAGGCTCCCAGCGTCATTTATGTTGGTCATAAATCCTTTCACAGAATCTAATCACATGATAGATACAAGTTTTTCAAATCACATCCCCCCAAAGCTAAAATATTTACTCACATTTTCCAGCATTTTCCATTCCCTCCTCATTTATTTTTATTTTAGTTCAACAAACTTAAATAACATTTCCATCACAATTCCATTTATTTCTTCTCCATAATGCCAGCTAAAGAAAACACAAACAATGCAAATATGCTCAGTTTCCACATAGTAATTACACATCAAAAGAGAAGAGAGTGACAGTATGTTTAGTTTCTTTCTTTTTTATCCTGTATCTGATTTTGGTTAGACTCTCCATTTCCATGTTGTTTTTTGTAGAAAATCCCTTCCAGTCACACAGAAAAATCAGTTCTACTTTACTTTTCCACGTGAACATTCAGTCATTACCACTAACCCAATATGTCAAAAATCAAATTTACCATCTTTCTTCAATCAAACTAGCTCTCCACTTCAACTTGGCCTGTGTCAGTGGCGCCTCTCTTCCAGTCAAATGCAGCTGGAAGTTATTCTGTGGATGAATACTATCATACATAGAAGGACTGGATGCAAGATATTGAAAGAAAAGATCACTAAGACTTGGTGACTGGTTCAGAGGAAGCAGTTAAAGCATGATTTGCGGAAGATTACTGCCCGTCCTGCCCTCATATCCTTATCTTCTCTAACTCCATTCTCTTCCTCTTGTACTRTTCACCGTAACTAGGCTAAGCTTTCACGAGTTCCCTTACTAAAAACCTTCAATGGCTCCCTAATGCCATCCAGACAAAGAACAGCTGAGAGCCTGAATTTCTTGGCCTGCCATCATCTGACCCCATTCAGTTGCTGTGGGCTTTTCTCCTTTTTCACAGTAGTTGTATCCTAATCCTACCCATTCTTCAACATCCAGCCCAAGAACCAAATCTTTATTATAAAGACTTGCTTTTCTAGAAGTCTAGACTCTTAGGACTAGTCTCTTTGAATTCTCCTGTCTACAAAGGCATTAGCAACCAAGGCTCTGGTCATTTGGTTTGCTCATGGCTTCAATTCTGTGTGCCTTATTCCCCAAGCAGACTATCAAAGTGGGAGGAAAAACTATTCAATATTCTTCATGCCAGCTCCCTACCTCCAATATTCTCCCAACTTCAATATACTTGTCCAATGAAATAAAGGAAGAATATGTAACTAGGCCTATAATATGCTCCTTCATTTTTAACACATAGCTTGTCCTATTAACTATTTTCATTATAATTTCTTCTATACTTTCTTGTGCTTTAGCCTATTACCTACTTAATTGCTCAAGACAACCCTCTGAGGTTAATATCATCTTCTCCAATTTACAGAAGAAAAACT